GATGAGGTCGTACAGCACCGCGCTCTTCTCAATCCACCGATCGCGGGCATCTCCTTCCCCCGGCATCTTCTCCTCTCCCATTGCAATTTTCAGCAGCTTGTAGCGCTTGAAGGCGCTCCGCATCCGCCCGCTCCATTCCTCATAGTTGGAGCCATCCAAAGCTTCAATCTTGGATGGTGGCGGCTCACTCCTCTTCTCAGCTGCATCTCCACTCCCTTGATTCATCTCCTCTGCTCCCAATCAGAGGTTTCAGCTCCCCCTTTTGCTGGTCACAATGTAGATCCACACAATCTTCACAAGTGTCAGCGCCAACGAAATTTCGGCAGAGTTTCCCCTTAGAAGAAGTCACATCCAACCTCCAGAACTCCACTTAGGCACGCCCACAGGCCATGGTGGGTCTAGGAGGGTCTTCACACTTCAGTAGACTCTCCACAAGGTCCTTAATCAGCTCTGATACCACTTGTTAGAGATTAAGGACGGAGTCTATGAAGATTAGGGGCTGAAATATCTCAAAATCGTCAACTACAATTCTGGACAGAAAAGTCGTCGTCACAAGAAACGTCGTCGACGAAAGGTCCACTGTTAGAATTCTTTCAAACTCGAGTATGTTGTAGCCCTTGACCGTGGCTATCTTTCCCAATTTGAATAGTATCAGAATATGGAGTATAACTCGAGTTATGAACTTCGGCGCACTAGGGGGTATGCTGCCATAGAAAACGTAACTCAATCACAATGATCTCACAAGTTCACACAAGAAAGTTAGAGTAGCAATAGAACCAGGTAGGAGGGGATGAGGAGGACGAGAGGGAAGGTCCCAAGAGAGTCCCCAACCAAGGAAACCCCATGCCATACAATTCCCTTCCCCATAGGCAACCCAACTTTGACCTTTGTCACTATCCCAACCTCCACAATCTACCTCAACCCAACTTGGCCACACTTGCCAACCTGGTTTGGTTTCTCCCAACCATTTGGCAGCAACTACAGTAGAAAAGACGAATTTCCCAACCCCCAAAAGTCTGTACCCCATATTGAGTCAACCCCACAACTTCCCATAGTCACCACAACCAAATATCAAAAGCATACGAACTCCAACGTTCGTAACTTTCTAGTTCGTGCTCCGATTGAAGCGATACTTGGTTCATCGGAAAGCTCTTGCGCAGAGGAGTCACTTCAGATATCTGCTCAAGCCAAAAAACATTCACACATACTCAGAAAATCCAAACCACACCAAAACACAAATTCTTGCACATGCTCACACCACGCATGCAACGTACGAACATATGATGGGAGGCAGACAGACGTGAATGCGAATGGTAGCATCACTCAACAGGAAGGGGGAAGAGGAGAGTTCAACCCCCTAATAGGCTGACCTATGATGCGCCGGGAAAGCAGGGCAAGACAGCCCTGGCCGGAGCGGCAATGATGGTCGGAGACGACGAGGAGAGTGACTACGAGGAGTGTGCCTTCGCGTTCTTCTCTCCGGTGGAGATGCCGGGAGAACCAGCAACTCTCAAGGAGGCTTTGGAGAGTAGTGATGCTGAGGAGTGGAAGAAGGCCATGGAGAGTGAGCTGAAGAGCATCGAGGAGAATGACACGTTTGAATTGGTGGAGCTACCGGAGGGGCGTACGGCGATAACGTCCAAGTGGCTCTTCAAAATCAAGTCGGATGCCGACGGCAAGATCGAGCGCTACAAGTCTAGGCTTGTAGCCAAGGGGTACCAGCAGAAGGAGAAGGTGGACTTCAAGGAGCTGTTTGCCCCTGTGGTGAAGCCGACGACGCTGCGAACCCTATTTGCGGGAGCCGCCATCAAAGGATGGGTAGTAAAGCAAATGGACATCGTAACGGCATTCCTTAACGGCATCCTTGAGGAGGAGATTTTTATGGCGCAGCCAGAGGGGTTTGATGATGGTAGTGGCAGAGTGTGGAAGCTGAAGAAGGCCCTCTATGGGCTGAAGCAGGCCCCTAGGCAATGGTACATGAAGCTGCGCGAAGTGTTGGAGGGGATCGGCTTCACTCCCTCAACGGCCGATCACTCCTTGTTCATGCTTGGCGAGGGGGAGCAGAGGAGTTTCATGGTGGTTTATGTGGATGACATCCTCATTTTCTCACCCTCTTCTGACCTTGTGAAGGAGGTGATGCTGAAGCTTCAAGACAAGTTCAAGTGCAAGGCCCTTGGTGACGTGAGCTTCTACCTTGGGCTCCACATCGAACGAGATGTGGAGAAGCGGTGCATGCGGGTGCATCAACGAAAGTACCTGGAGGCATTGGCTGCCAACTTTGGGCAGAGTGAAGGCCATGTGGCTACACCCTTTCCCTCTGGGTTCAAGTGTGTGAAGGGACCAGAGGAGGAGAGCGTTGGTGAAGAGGAGAAGCGCCGATTTCACTCGTTGGTGGGCAGCCTCATGTATGCGGCGGTAAACACCCGACCGGACGTCGCGTTTGCTACCGGGCAGCTGGCTAGGGTTGTGCAATGCCCTAATGAGGAGCAGGTAGCAGCTGGAATGAGGGTGGCCAAGTATCTTGGCCAAACACCGACCGTTGGGCTGCAATATTCGGCGGCGGCACAAAGGCGCCAAAAGAGCGCGGATGGTGTTGAACCCGAGCGTTTGTTCCTCACCGCCTACTCGGATGCTTCATATGCATCAGAACCAGAGGACATGACAAGTGTGGGAGGCTTCATATGCTGTGTTGGTGGAGGCCCAACTGCTTGGGAGAGCAAGAAGCAGGTTGACCAAGCTTTGAGCTCGGTGGAGTCCGAGTACATGGCACTCTTCCGTGCCGTACGGGAGATTGTGTGGCAGCGGCGTTTGTTGGCTGAATTGGGGGAGGAGCAGCAAGGACCTACCCCACTCTACTGTGACAGCCAGGGTGCCATTGCTCTTGCTAAGAACCCTGTGTTGCATGGACTCACGAAGCACATGAGGGTGAAGTGGCATTGGACGAGGAGCATGGTAACCGCGGGTGAAGTTGAGTTGCGCTACGTGAAGACCACGGGGCAGCCGGCTGACATGATGACCAAGAGGCTGGTGGAGCAGCAGCATTGGAAGTGTTGCAAGCTGGCTGGGATGGCTCTGAACTGAGAGAGCAACATATCCTAAGGCCAACAATCCGAGGGGGAGTTTGTTGGTGCAACCCTACGGTTTGCACTCGGCTTGTTGTCCGTGTGCGTGAATGTGTGTGTGTATGGAATGGTATGAGGGCATGGGATAATATATATTTCATGCTTATAATTGTGTGTGAATGTTGAGTCATGATGTCGAGTGTGTGTGTCGAGTCAATAGCGAGTTATCGCTAGACGCGTGTTACGCGGTCGTTTGTGTCTCGCGCGCGGTTTCTATTTTGTCGTGCGCGGTTTCTATTTTGTCCTGTGTCGAACGTTCGGCGTGTCGCAGGTGTGTGCAGCAGACCCATCAAGAACTCAAGGATGAGTTTGTGATGAAGAGCCCGAGCCTTGGTGTCAAGCCTCAAGTGATTTCGAAGCTCGCCAAAAGGGTACACCTCAAGATATTGAAGATAGTTACATTACTTTGTGTAGTGTAACATTTCACTTGGTGTAGGCCCTAGTGAAGGGTAGTTTCGAGACCCTTCGTGGTTGGGGACAGTGTGGCACTGTTCCACATCACTGTACCTCGGCTCTTGGGGTTTGTAGGAGCTGGGAGTCATTCCCAACTCGTAACTCTTCCTATCTTGTGTTCTAAGACTATAGTGGCTGCCATAGTACCGTTCGTTCAAACCGACGCTGTGTCGTCAATTCTTTATCAAATCGTGCAATCTAAATTGATAATTGTAGAGGACGTGAAGACACTCCAGATCCAATTTGAATCAAGTCATTTGCAGCTGTGAGCAGAACGCTATCAACGTTTGAAGCCGCTGTGCAGAAATCCGTCTGTGCTCTCTTTCGTTTTAGGCACATTCAAGCCTATTGTGACTATAACAGCGACAGGGCTGTGGGGATGCTGCGCGCGCGCTCGCTGCGGCGGCAGAAGTCCAGTGCGGCGATCACTCGGGTCGCTGGGAGCGCAGGGAGCGCAGGGAGGGGGTTCACTGGGGTCGCTGGGAGGGCTGGGGGGAGCAATGGGAGCGATGGGGGCGCTGGAAGGGGGTTCACTGGGGTCACTGGGAGCGATAGGGTCGCTGGGACCCGCCCCTCCTGGTGGGATTGCCATGGGGAAGGGGCATGGGCGGAGGTGTGGGGGGAGGCGTGGGGATGGGTGGGGGGAAGGTGCCCGCTACGTATGGTGTGGCGCAGGTATGGGCGCAGGTGTGGGCGCAGGTGTGGGCGCAGGTGTGGGCGCAGGTGTGGGCGCAGGTGTGGGCGCAGGGGGGCTGGGGGGAGTTTACTGGGGCGGGCATGGTGGCGGCGGATGGGGTTGGGGGGGCGGGGGAGAGAGGTGGGGGGACTGTGACGGCGGAGGGGGAGAAGGGCAGTCAGATACGGGCGGGAGGAGTGGGGATGGGGACACACTCTGAGCAGGGGCGTGGGGGGGAGTGCGGGGCGGAGGGGGAGGAAGCGCAGTGGGGAGGGGGGAGGGGCGCCGGTGGAGAGGAGGCAGAAGAGGATGATCAAGAATAGGGAGTCGGCCGCTCGGTCCCCTGCGAGGAAGCTGGTGGGGTGAGGTGGATGGGTTGAAGAAGCGTTTTCCAGACCTCTTGCTTTGCTGCTGTGCGTGCCACACTGAGTCAAGAGTCAAGACCGATACTTTGAGAGGAGGGAGAATGCTGGGCGGCACAGGGTCTCCGTATGGCTGTTTGCGTGTGTATGGCACTTGCTCTCTCTCCTCACACCATGCTGCACCGCTTCCTGTGCTCCGCCCCACCCCTCTGGTGCTCCCCTCTGAAGTAGGAGAATGAACACCTGCGCGCTCAGCCCTCCCCTTCTCCCCCCCTTCTTCCTCAGGCATACACAGTGGAGCCTGAATGCGAAGGTGCCCTGAAGCCTAGCCACATGATCTTCTTCCCATGCCCTCCCCATCCCCCCCTTCAGGCGTACACTGTAGAGTTGGAGCCCTCCCCCTCCCCATCAGCCCCTTCCTCTGGCACCACATGACATCCCCCCTTCCCCCCCTTCAGGCGTATACAGTGGAGCTGGAGGCGGAGGTGGCGCAGCTGAAGGAGGAGAACGAACAGCTGCGCGCCCCCACCCCACCAGGCGTACACGCGCACCCCATTCCCCCCTTGGTGCTCTCCCCCACCCCCTCGCCCCCCCCACCCCCCTCCTCTTTCAGGCGTATACAGTGGAGCTGGAGGCGGAGGTGGCGCAGCTGAAGGAGGAGAACGAACAGCTGCGCGCCCCCACCCCACCAGGCGTACACGCGCACCCCATTCCCCCCTTGGTGCTCTCCCCCACCCCCTCGCCCCCCCCACCCCCCTCCTCTTTCAGGCGTATACAGTGGAGCTGGAGGCGGAGGTGGCTCAGCTGAAGGAAAAGAACGAGCAGCTGCGCGCCCAGCCCTTCCCCTCTCCTCTCCCCACCCCCTCAGGCGTACACAGTGGAGCCTGAAGGGTGCCCAGGAGCGTAACCACATGATCCTCTTCCCATGCCCTCCCCCTACCCTCCCTCCAGGCGTACACAGTAGAGTTAGAGGCGGAGGTGGCACAGTTGAAGGAAGAAAACGAACAGCTGCGCTCCCAGCTGCTGCAGCTGCAGTCCCACACCCACGCGCACCCCAGCATGGTGAGTGCGGTTGTGCATTGAGTGAACGAAGCACGGCGTGCGCGCCCCTTCTCAGCTGGAGCGAGTGCGATCACGTTGACATTACTGTCGCTGTCACTCAGCAGCGCAGCTTCTGGCAAGTTCTCATTCCCATCATCACGTTCGATTTGATTTGATTCGTATCCCCGTCCACCATCGATATTACTTCTTTTCTTGTCTCCATCTTTTTTGTTTTCTCGCCTCTATCCCCTCCGGACCTGTCTTGCTCCCCTCAATTTCCCCAAACGCTGCAGCCAGCAGCCATGCCTACTTCTCTATCTGCAGCAGCACAAATAGCAGTGCCAGCAACGGCAGCAGCAGCAGCAGCAGCAGCGGCGGCAGCAGGCACGCCACTCAGTCTCCTACCACCAGCAGCAGCCGGACCGTCCAATCTCCCGGCAAACCCCCTCTCAACCGCTTCACATCTGCACACAACATCTCACCCTCACACTCCTTTGCCGGGTGCAGCAGCAGCAGCAGCAGCGGGTGGGAAGGGTGGTGCTGACAGCAAGGCACTGCAACGGTCCAGGTCTGGGCCATGGTGACCACCCTTGCTGCCTGGTCTCGCTGGATGCGCGACACCCCCTCTCAACCACATAACACTCCCCCTTAACCGCTTCAAACCTGGACACACTGTCTCAGCCTCACACTGTGAAAGGAGGTGCCGACATCAAGGCACTGCAACGGTTCGGGTCAGGGCGTGGTGACGAGGGAACCACCCGAACTGGCTGGTCTCTCTCGATGCGCCACAAACCCTCTCAACCGCATCACACCCCCACTCAACTGCATTACACCCCCACTCAACCGCATCACACCCCCCACTCAACCGCCTCACACCTCCTTTCAACCGCATCACACCTACGCACACCATCTCAGCCTCACACTGTGAAGGGTGGTGCTGGCAGCGGGGCACTTCAACGGTCCAGGTCAGGGCCGTGGTGACAAGGGAGCACCAAAACTGGCTGGTCTCGCTCGATGCCCCACGTCCCCTCAACCGCGTTACACCTCCTTTCAACCGCTTCACACCTGTGCTGTGCATACCATCTCAGCCTCACACTGCGAAGGGTGCTACTGGCAGCAGGCCATAATAACGGCCCAATAGGGGTGGCAAGAGGGCCATAGGGACACGCACCACTTGGTTCTGCTTGATGGACAACAGGCAGTGTTTATCTGAATATACCGTATTGTCCAAGTCAGAATTTGTTTGTAGCAAGTGTGAGAACCTTGGACTGGAATGCTGGAAGCATTCTTGGATGATCAAAATGTACCGGAGTCAAAGAGAGGTGCGTCACTGCAACAAGTTCAGGCTACGGTACCGGCACCGTACGAGTTGGCACAGCTGACTAACAAACTCCAAGTCTGACTCTGCAGCGCGTACAGTTGTTGCTAAGAAGGAATACACATTAGCTATTGCGTTGCTTGCCAACCACCTGTGTTGTGTGCACATGACCTGATCGGCGCAGGTACCATATCAAAGAGCGTTTGGTTGACATCACTGCAATTAACATCTGGTGCCAAGATTGCAGAGTCAGAAGCGGCAGGCAGCTGCCAGCCACGACTGTTGGAATTATCAATCAACGGAGCGCGGCATGCCTATTGCATCCATCGCATGTGGCCGGGGCTTGAGTTGGTCCGAGAATGACAGCAAGCGAGAGATCATGCACGGGAAACAGATTCAGGTGCCCTACCACTACCAGCAGTATTTGACCAACAGGGTAGTTGTATCATGACAACCCAACCCTTCTCAAGCCCGGTCTCTTCAGTTTAGCGAGCCATTTTGTCAAGCTCCCAAAGCTCGAGGCCCGTGAGTGCTGAAACAGTCCCAAGCACCTGAATTGGGGGGAAAAAGGGGGGGGGGGGGGGGAGAAGGGGAGGGGACGGAGGGAAGGGAAGGAGGGAAGGGGCGAAAGCGTTGGATGTCATATTCAGTCATGCTAAATTGAATGAGAATGACATAAAAGCATACGCTAACTGCTCATATATATAATGTGAAACAATTGCTGTGAGCTGCAGCACATGATGCTTGATGGATGCATGGACGAAACAGCATGATGAATTGCATAAACAATATTTCAAAGCATGTTAATCTGCATGTTTAGAATCTCATGACATGATGATACGGTAACACCATGTCAAGTGTCTCAGTGGCACTTGCATGGTCTTGCCCGACCCCGTCTCACCGCACACAAGGCTGGCAGAGCTGGCCTCCATGTACCTCTCCCACCCCACCGCAGTCGCCTGCCCTTTCCCCCACACCGCACGCACCTGCCCCTTTCCCCACACCTTTCGCACCCGCCCTTCCCCCCACACCGCATTCACCTGCAGAACTTCTTTGATACTGATAGATTCCCCGACCCCGTCTCGCCGCACACAGCACTGCTGCTCCCCGCGGCCTCCATCCCTGCGCCCTCCCTCGCCACCACTGGCAGCTGCTGTGCTTGCTTGCCCTCGCCACCACTGGCAGCCCTGCCTGCTGTGCTTCTATCTCCGCGCAACGCTGCACCCACAGTTTGCCCCGTCTCGCCGCCTCCCCTCTCAGTTCCGCCTCTCTGCCACTTCCTTTCTCTGCAGAGCCTGCAGGCTTTCGCAGCAGCAGCGCCTGCGGGTCAGCCAGGGGGATCAGCCCCTGTTTCACAAACGCCATGGCATCCTGCACCTTGTGCTTGCTGCTACCCGCCTGGAGGGGGTTAGGGGCGGATTGGGTAGCCAGGAAGGGGGAGGAGGGGTAACGGAAAGGAGTGGGGTGATGCAGGGGGGAGAGAAGTGGCGGGTGGACCTGCCCTGGTTGCACAAACGCAATGGCACGTCGCCCCCTGTGCGCGCTGCAGCTGCTGCCATTATGGCGAGGCCCAGAAGGGGTTGGGCAATGGGGGAGAGGGAAGGCGAAGGGCGGCACATGGGACGGATAGAGGGGGGGAGGTGGGGTCGGGGAAGTGGGCAGGAGAGAGGCGGGCAGAGAGGTGTGGTGGGGAGGAAGGGGGGAAGGTGACGGAAGGGGGGGGGGGTCGGTGGGAGGGAGAAGAGGGAGTGAGCACGAAAAGCGGAGAGGTGTGGGAGCGAGGGAACACATGCACCAACGTCCGACGCGGTGAACAGCAGCGCCTTGACCTTCTCACTCCCCACTGCGCCCTCCCCTCCCCACCTTCCCTTCTCCCCACTGCGCCCTCCCCTTCTCACCTCTCCTTCTCTCCACTGCGCCCACTCCCCACCACTTCCCTGCTCCCCACCTCACCCTCCCCTCCCCGCACCCCCCTCGTCCACCTCACCTGGCGACCGCGCGTCGTCCGTCGCGGCGGAGGGCAGCGCCGCGCGCTCCTCCGCGCGCACTTTCGCGCGCACTTCCGCGCACACTTCCCGCGCGCACTTCCGCGCGCACTTCCCTGCGCGCATTTCCGCCGCACAGCGAAATACAGTCGCAACTGTCTTGCTTTCCTTCCTGACGCAAGCATGCTTCCGGACGCAAGCATGCTTTCGGGCGCAAGCATGCTTTCGGACGCAAGCATGCTTTCGGACGCAAGCATGCTTCCGGACGCAAGCATGCTTCCGGACGCAAGCATGCTTCCGGACGCAAGCATGCGTCCGAGCGCAAGCATGCTTCCGGACGCAAGCATGCTTTCGGACGCAAGCATGCTTTCGGACGCAAGCATGCTTCCGGACGCAAGCATGCTTTCGGACGCAAGCATGCGTCCGGGCGCAAGCATGCTTTCGGACGCAAGCATGCTTCCGGGCGCAAGCATGCTTTCGGGAGCAAGCATGCTTCCGGACGCAAGCATGCTTTCGGACGCAAGCATGCTTCCGGACGCAAGCATGCTTCCGGACGCAAGCATGCGTCCGGGCGCAAGCATGCTTCCGGACGCAAGCATGCTTTCGGACGCAAGCATGCTTTCGGACGCAAGCATGCTTCCGGACGCAAGCATGCTTTTGGACGCAAGCATGCATCCGGGCGCAAGCATGCTTCCGGACGCAAGCATGCTTCCGGGCGCAAGCATGCTTTCGGACGCAAGCATGCTTTCGGACGCAAGCATGCTTTCGGACGCAAGCATGCTTTCGGACGCAAGCATGCGTCCGGACGCAAGCATGCTTCCGGACGCAAGCATGCGTCCGGGCGCAAGCATGCTTCCGGGCGCAAGCATGCTTTCGGGCGCAAGCATGCTTGCGGACGCAAGCATGCTTCCGGACGCAAGCATGCTTTCGGGCGCAAGCATGCTTTCGGACGCAAGCATGCTTCCGGACGCAAGCATGCGTCCGGGCGCAAGCATGCTTCCGGACGCAAGCATGCTTCCGGACGCAAGCATGCTTCCGGACGCAAGCATGCTTCCGGACGCAAGCATGCTTCCGGGCGCAAGCATGCTTCCGGGCGCAAGCATGCTTTCGGACGCAAGCATGCTTCCGGACGCAAGCATGCTTCCGGACGCAAGCATGCTTTCGGACGCAAGCATGCTTCCGGGCGCAAGCATGCTTTCGGGCGCAAGCATGCTTCAGGACGCAAGCATGCTTTCGGACGCAAGCATGCTTTCGGATGCAAGCATGCTTCCGGACGCAAGCATGCTTTCGGACGCAAGCATGCTTTCGGACGCAAGCATGCTTTCGGACGCAAGCATGCTTTCGGACGCAAGCATGCTTTCGGACGCAAGCATGCTTCCAGACGCAAGCATGGTTTCGGGCGCAGGCATGCTTTCGGACGCAAGCATGCTTTCGGACGCAAGCATGCTTCCGGACGCAAGCATGCGTCCGGACGCAAGCATGCTTTCGGGCACAAGCATGGTTTCGGATGCAAGCATGCTTCCGAACGCAAGCATGCTTTCGGGCGCCAGCATGCTTTCGGACGCAAGCATTCTTTCGGACGCAAGCATGCTTTCGGACGCAAGCATGCTTCCGGGCGCAAGCATGCTTCCGGGCGCAAGCATGCGTCCGGACGCAAGCATGCTTCCGGCAGTGAGCATGCTTTCGGACGCAAGCATGCTTTCGGACGCAAGCATGCTTCCGGGCGCAAGCATGCGTCCGGGCGCAAGCATGCTTCTGCGCGCAAGCATGCTTCCGGACACAAGCATGCGTCCGGACGCAAGCATGCTTCTGGCAGTGAGCATGCTTTCGGACGCAAGCATGCTTCCGGGCGCAAGCATGCGTCCAGATGCAAGCATGCTTCCGGACGCAAGCATGCTTCCGGACGCAAGCATGCTTCCGGACGCAAGCATGCGTCCGGGCGCAAGCATGCTTTCAGGCGCAAGCATGCTTCCGGACGCAAGCATGCTTTCGGACGCAAGCATGCTTCCGGACGCAAGCATGCTTCCGGACGCAAGCATGCGTCCGGGCGCAAGCATGCTTCGGGACGCAAGCATGCTTTCGGACGCAAGCATGCTTTCAGACGCAAGCATGCTTCCGGACGCAAGCATGCTTTCGGACGCAAGCATGCGTCCGGGCGCAAGCATGCTTCCGGACGCAAGCATGCTTTCGGGCGCAAGCATGCTTTCGGACGCAAGCATGCTTTCGGGCGCAAGCATGCTTTCGGACGCAAGCATGCTTCCGGACGCAAGCATGCTTTGGACGCAAGCATGCTTTCGGACGCAAGCATGCTTCCGGGCGCAAGCATGCGTCCGGGCGCAAGCATGCTTCCGGGCGCAAGCATGCGTCCGGGCGCAAGCATGCTTCTGGGCGCAAGCATGCGTCCGGACGCAAGCATGCTTCCGGCAGTGAGCATGCTTTCAGACGCAAGCATGCTTTCGGACGCAAGCATGCTTCCGGGCGCAAGCATGCGTCCGAGCGCAAGCATGCTTCCGCGCGCAAGCATGCTTCCGGACGCAAGCATGCGTCCGGACGCAAGCATGCTTCTGGCAGTGAGCATGCTTTCGGACGCAAGCATGCTTCCAGGTGCAAGCATGCGTCCGGACGCAAGCATGCTTCCGGACGCAAGCATGCTTCCGGACGCAAGCATGCTTCCGGACGCAAGCATGCGTCCGGGCGCAAGAATGCTTTCGGGCGCAAGCATGCTTCCGGACGCAAGCATGCTTTCGGACGCAAGCATGCTTTCGGACGCAAGCATGCTTCCGGGCGCAAGCATGCGTCCGGGCGCAAGCATGCTTCCGGGCGCAAGCATGCGTCCGGACGCAAGCATGCTTCCGGCAGTGAGCATGCTTTCGGACGCAAGCATGCTTTCGGACGCAAGCATGCTTCCGGGCGCAAGCATGCGTCCGGGCGCAAGCATGCTTCCGCGCGCAAGCATGCTTCCGGACGCAAGCATGCGTCCGGACGCAAGCATGCTTCTGGCAGTGAGCATGCTTTCGGACGCAAGCATGCTTCCGGGCGCAAGCATGCGTCCGGACGCAAGCATGCTTCCGGACGCAAGCATGCTTCCGGACGCAAGCATGCTTCCGGACGCAAGCATGCTTTCGGACGCAAGCATGCTTCCGGACGCAAGCATGCTTCCGGACGCAAGCATGCTTTCGGACGCAAGCATGCTTCCGGGCGCAAGCATGCTTTCGGGCGCAAGCATGCTTCTGGACGCAAGCATGCTTTCGGACGCAAGCATGCTTTCGGATGCAAGCATGCTTCCGGACGCAAGCATGCTTTCGGACGCAAGCATGCTTTCGGACGCAAGCATGCTTTCGGACGCAAGCATGCTTTCGGACGCAAGCATGCTTTCGGACGCAAGCATGCTTCCAGACGCAAGCATGCTTTCGGGCGCAGGCATGCTTTCGGACGCAAGCATGCTTTCGGACGCAAGCATGCTTTCGGGCACAAGCATGGTTTCGGACGCAAGCATGCTTCCGGACGCAAGCATGCTTTCGGGCGCAAGCATGCTTTCGGACGCAAGCATGCTTTCGAACGCAAGCATGCTTTCGGACGCAAGCATGCTTCCGGGCGCAAGCATGCGTCCGGGCGCAAGCATGCTTCCGGGCGCAAGCATGCGTCCGGGCGCAAGCATGCTTCCGGGCGCAAGCATGCGTCCGGACGCAAGCATGCTTCCGGCAGTGAGCATGCTTTCGGACGCAAGCATGCTTTCGGACGCAAGCATGCTTCCGGGCGCAAGCATGCGTCCGGGCGCAAGCATGCTTCCGCGCGCAAGCATGCTTCCGGACGCAAGCATGCGTCCGGACGCAAGCATGCTTCTGGCAGTGAGCATGCTTTCGGACGCAAGCATGCTTCCGGGCGCAAGCATGCGTCCGGACGCAAGCATGCTTCCGGACGCAAGCATGCTTCCGGACGCAAGCATGCTTCCGGACGCAAGCATGCGTCCGGGCGCAAGCATGCTTTCAGGCGCAAGCATGCTTCCGGACGCAAGCATGCTTTCGGACGCAAGCATGCTTCCGGACGCAAGCATGCTTCCGGACGCAAGCATGCGTCCGGGCGCAAGCATGCTTCGGGACGCAAGCATGCTTTCGGACGCAAGCATGCTTTCAGACGCAAGCATGCTTCCGGACGCAAGCATGCTTTCGGACGCAAGCATGCGTCCGGGTGCAAGCATGCTTCCGGACGCAAGCATGCTTTCGGGCGCAAGCATGCTTTCGGACGCAAGCATGCTTTCGGGCGCAAGCATGCTTTCGGACGCAAGCATGCTTCCGGACGCAAGCATGCTTTCGGACGCAAGCATGCTTTCGGACGCAAGCATGCTTCCGGCCGCAAGCATGCGTCCGGGCGCAAGCATGCTTCCGGGCGCAAGCATGCGTCCGGGCGCAAGCATACTTCTGGGCGCAAGCATGCGTCCGGACGCAAGCATGCTTCCGGCAGTGAGCATGCTTTCGGACGCAAGCATGCTTTCGGACGCAAGCATGCTTCCGGGCGCAAGCATGCGTCCGGGCGCAAGCATGCTTCCGCGCGCAAGCATGCTTCCGGACGCAAGCATGCGTCCGGACGCAAGCATGCTTCTGGCAGTGAGCATGCTTTCGGACGCAAGCATGCTTCCAGGCGCAAGCATGCGTCCGGACGCAAGCATGCTTCCGGACGCAAGCATGCTTCCGGACGCAAGCATGCGTCCGGGCGCAAGAATGCTTTCGGGCGCAAGCATGCTTCCGGACGCAAGCATGCTTTCGGAGGCAAGCATGCTTTCGGACGCAAGCATGCTTCCGGGCGCAAGCATGCGTCCGGGCGCAAGCATGCTTCCGGGCGCAAGCATGCGTCCGGACGCAAGCATGCTTCCGGCAGTGAGCATGCTTTCGGACGCAAGCATGCTTTCGGACGCAAGCATGCTTCCGGGCGCAAGCATGCGTCCGGGCGCAAGCATGCTTCCGCGCGCAAGCATGCTTCCGGACACAAGCATGCGTCCGGACGCAAGCATGCTTCTGGCAGTGAGCATGCTTTCGGACGCAAGCATGCTTCCGGGCGCAAGCATGCGTCCGGACGCAAGCATGCTTCCGGACGCAAGCATGCTTCCGGACGCAAGCATGCTTCCGGACGCAAGCATGCGTCCGGGCGCAAGCATGCTTTCGGGCGCAAGCATGCTTCCGGACGCAAGCATGCTTTCGGGCGCAAGCATGTTTTCGGATGCAAGCATGCTTCCGGACGCAAGCATGCTTTCGGACGCAAGCATGCTTTCGGACGCAAGCATGCTTTCGGACGCAAGCATGCTTTCGGATGCAAGCATGCTTCCAGACGCAAGCATGCTTTTGGGCGCAGGCATGCTTTCGGACGCAAGCATGCTTTCGGACGCAAGCATGCTTCCGGACGCAAGCATGCGTCCGGACGCAAGCATGCTTTCGGGCACAAGCATGGTTTCGGACGCAAGCATGCTTCCGGACGCAAGCATGCTTTCGGGCGCAAGCATGCTTTCGGACGCAAGCATGCTTCCGGACGCAAGCATGCTTTCGGACGCAAGCATGCTTTCGGACGCAAGCATGCTTCCGGGCGCAAGCATGCGTCCGGGCGCAAGCATGCTTCCGGGCGCAAGCATGCGTCCGGGCGCAAGCATGCTTCCGGGAGCAAGCATGCGTCCGGACGCAAGCATGCTTCCGGCAGTGAGCATGCTTTCGGACGCAAGCATGCTTTCGGACGCAAGCATGCTTCCGGGCGCAAGCATGCGTCCGGGCGCAAGCATGCTTCCGCGCGCAAGCATGCTTCTGGACGCAAGCATGCGTCCGGACGCAAGCATGCTTCTGGCAGTGAGCATGCTTTCGGACGCAAGCATGCTTCCAGGCGCAAGCATGCGTCCGGACGCAAGCATGCTTCCCGACGCAAGCATGCTTCCGGACGCAAGCATGCTTCTGGACGCAAGCATGCGTCCGGGCGCAAGCATGCTTTCGGGCGCAAGCATGCTTCCGGACGCAAGCATGCTTTCGGACGCAAGCATGCTTTCGGACGCATGCATGCTTCCGGGCGCAAGCATGCGTCCGGGCGCAAGCATGCTTCCGGGCGCAAGCATGCGTCCGGACGCAAGCATGCTTCCGGCAGTGAGCATGCTTTCGGACGCAAGCATGCTTTCGGACGCAAGCATGCTTCCGGGCGCAAGCATGCGTCCGGGCGCAAGCATGCTTCCGCGCGCAAGCATGCTTCCGGACACAAGCATGCGTCCGGACGCAAGCATGCTTCTGGCAGTGAGCATGCTTTCGGACGCAAGTGTCAACATATATTTTATATGTGTTGTTTAGGTTAGTCTAGGTGTTACGTTTCTACTTACTTGCATGATTAGGGTTTGCTATATCTAGGGTTGTACTTCACATTTTCTATCAATTCATTCTTATCGTAACATGGTATAGAGCTAGGTTTCCCTTAGGCGATTTTTCCCCTAGGCGATTTTTTCCCTTAGGCGAAATTTCTCTCGATAGTCTATGGGCCCACCACCCGCGCGCCTCGTAGCGACCCATAGCCCGAAGCGCCCTGCCCCGTAGAGCCCGAGTAGGTCGCGCCCCCCCGTCGACATCGCGCGTCACCCGTTTCTGCCCTGCGCCCCACCCGTTTTTGCCGTGCGTCACTCGTTTTCTGCCCCGCGCCCCACTCGTTTTACCCCGCGCGTTTCCCCCCAGCCCTCTAGCGCGCAGCAGACGAACGCGCGTAGCTGCGCGCGCAGCCTTAGTCGCACCCGCAGCTTCGCGCTAGTACGTCGCGGCCGCGCGCACGTGCAGCCCACCGTCTTAACCGCCCCCCAGACCTGAAAACCCGCCATTACAGACCTGAAAACTGCCGCCGAACTTGGAAACCCGCCGCCCCAGACCTGAAAACCGCCGCCCCAGACCTGACAACCGCCGCCCCACCTGGAAACCTGCTGCCCCACCCGTTCCAGGCACCTCACCCGGGATCAGCCGCCCCACCCAGTCCTCTCCACCGTATTGAACCGCACAGAACTGCACATAACTGCACAGAACCGCACAGAACCGCCGCCTTAACAGCTTCCCCACCTGAAAACCACCGCCCCAGACCTGACAACCGCCGCCCCACCTGGAAACCTGCTGCCCCACCCGTTCCAGGCACCTCACCCGGAATCAGCTGCCCCACCCAGTCCTCTCCACCGCATTGAACCTCACAGAACCGCACAGTACTGCACATAACCGCACAGAACTGCACAGAACCGCCGCCTCACCCGTAGCCCGCTGCCTTAACAGCTTCCCCACCTGAAACCTGCCTCCCCACGACCTACCACACCCACCGTCAGTAGCCCCAGCCGATTACACTGCCGCCAGCTACACCAGCAGCAGCATAGGCTGCCCCCAGCGCACCAGCAGCAACGTAGGCTGCCCCCAGCAGAACCAGCAGAACCAGCAGAACCAGCAGAACCAGCAGAACCAGCAGAACCTGCAGAACTAGCAGAACCAGCAGAACCAGCAGAACCAGCAAAACCAGCAGAACCAGCAGAACCAGCAGAACCAGCAGAACCAGCAGAACCAGCAGAACCAGCAGAACCAGCAGAACCAGCAGCAGCATAGGCTGCCCCCAGCGAACCAGCAGCAGCATAGGCTGCCCCCAGCGCACCAGCAGCAGCTTAGGCAACTGCCTGCGCACTAGCAGCAGCATTGGCTGCCCCCTGGGGAACCAGTAGCAGCCTAGGCTGCCTCTCAGCAGAACCAGAAGCAGCACAGGCTGCCCCCAGCGCACCAGCAGCAGCTTAGGCTGCCCTCAGCAGAACCAGTAGCAGCATAGGCTCACATGGCATGTACTAGGGTTCTACAGCAGCAGGGCCAGCCGCAGCACTCCCGTCAGTTGGGGCCTGCGGGTCCAAAGTGTGGCGCCCCCAGCAGTGGCTCAGCTAGCAGTGGGCGAGACGTCGGCCCCTGCGGGTACCGGGCCCTGACAGGCCCTGGTGCTGGCACTACCTGCTGGAGTCCTGACCACACTGCGTCCAGCTGCTACCGTCGACTCGACGACCTCCACCGTGAGCGTTTTGGTCCTCACGCTATTACACCGCACTGGCCTTCGCGCCTTCGCCAGCGCACTACTGCACCAGTTGAGTCTCACCTGCCTGGTCTAGGACCCTTTCCGGCTGCACGAGTAGAGACCTGTGTTTCCAGTCTTGGTGCATGTGTTGTTTCCAGTCCCGGCGCCTCTGAGGGTCTTTGTGTAGAAGCTGCAGCTACCACTAGTCTAGCACTAGCCTTTGTAGCTGGTTCGGGTGCGACCCCACAGACTGCACAGCTTTCCTTCACCCTAGATTCTGGAGCGTCCAGCTGTTTCTTTCGCGACTGTACCGACCTCACACCACTGCGCACTCCAGTCACTGTCGCCTTGGCTGACCCCTCTGTGGGACGTGTAGTTGCTAGCAGCACCACCACTCTTCCGTGTCCGGCGGCTCCCTCAGGTTTTCTTACAGGTTACTACACCCCCTCGTTCTCTAGGAACTTGGTGGGTGTCAGTCACCTTCACGACCTAGGCGTAGTCACTACTTTCCCACTGGACGAGCCTGTTGCCTCCTGCACTGTCGGTGCCACTGGGGCGCCCCTGGCCACATTCCACAGAGAGCCGGGATCTGGTCTGTACTCACTACACACTGGGTCCCACCACACTGAGTCGGGTCAGGTCAGGTCAGGTCAGGTAGCTGCTGTGTCGTGTGACTGTCGGTCCCTCACCCACCCGTCGGTCCTCTGGCACCACCGTCTAGGTCACCCGTCGTTCCCGCGTCTCAGTAGGATGGCACGTTACCGTCTGGTCTCAGGTCTCCCAGGGTCGCTTGCACCGCTTCCCCGCTCTCCTGCGCCGCTGTGCACTCCTTGCGTTGAGGGTCGGCAGCGCGCTGCCCCTCACTCCTCCTCGTTCCCCCCTACCACGGCTCCCTTCGAGACCCTGCACTTGGACGTCTGGGGCCCCTCTCCGGTCCTTGGCCCACGTCAGGAGCGCTACTTCCTGATTGTGGTGGACGACTACTCCCGCTACACCACGGTTTTCCCCTTGCGACGGAAGGCCGACGTGCCTACCGTCCTCGAGCCGTGGCTACTAGCGTGGGGTGGCGCCCAGGGCCTGTGTGGGCTTCGCCTACACTCGGACCGTGGTGGTGAGTTTTCTTCCACTCGCCTGGAGACGTTCTGTCAGGGTCGGGGGATCATCCAGTCTTACACGCTACCAGCATCACCGCAGCAGAACGGGGTAGCCGAGAGACGCATCGGCCTGGTCATGGAGGTTGCCCGGACCTCCATGTGCCATGCCGGTGCCCCCCAGTTCTTGTGGCCCCAGGCAGTCCGCTACGCCGCGCACCAGCTGAACCTGTGGCCCAGTGACGCACGGCCAAGGGTGACGCCGGTCTCCCTTTGGACAGGTTCTCCGGGCGTAGCAGCTGACTTCCGCGTCTGGGGTTGTCTGGCTCACGTTCGCGCCCCTGGCGCGAACAAGTTGTCTCCGCGCACTCGTGCCTGCGTCTTTCTTGGCTTCCCTTTGGACGCCTCCAGCTGGGTGTTCTACGACCCGGTCACCTACCAGTTCTTCGCTTCGCAGGACGTCACGTTCGACGAGTCTGTCTGTTACTACAGGAGTCGCCCCCACCGAGGTACTCAGGCCTTTTCCCCCCCGCTGTTCCTCACCCTTGAGCCCCCACCAGTCGCCCCGGTAGCCCCCCCCCCTTCGCGTCCTGCCCCGTCAGGTGTGTCGCACGTCACTCCGCAGTCTTCCCCCCCGCAGCGTCCAGTCCCTGTCGTGTCTGGGGGTGCGGGAGGTGCAGTTGCGGAGGGTGAGGGTACTGGGGCTGCAGGAGCTGGTGGTGCCGGCTCTGGGGGTGCAGGGGTTGTGGGCGTGGAGGTCACTCCTGTGGAGGACACGGCAGCCTCGACTCGGCGGCCTCGCCCTGCCTCACCCCCTGGCTTCCCGTCCGTCCCGCAGTTTCCTCCTCCTTCTTCTCTGCGGTCGGTTGCTGCGGAGCCTGGGGGTGTTCCTGCGGGAGGTACTGGAGGCCCCGGGGGTGTTGGTGGTGGAGGTGCTGGTTCTGGGGGTGCTGGAGCTGGAGGCACTGGCACTGTGGCGCCTACACCGCGCACTGTACGTTTCCTGACCCGTGAGCAGCGTCTCCTCCGGTTGGAGAGGGAGGAGCGTGAGCGATTTGAGAGGGCACAGCAGCAGCAGCAGCAGCAGCAGCAGCAGCAGCAGCAGGAGAGAGTAGAGGAGGAGTCACAGCAGCAGCACGAGAGGGTAGCGCAGGAGTCCCGGTCGCAGCAGCGGGTGCAGCTGCAGCCGCAGCAGGAGAGGGTAGAGGAGGAGTCACGGCCGCACCAGGAGAGGGTAGAGCAGGAGTCCCGCCCGCAGCAGCAGGTGCAGTTACAGACACAGCAGGAGAGAGTAGAGGAGCAGTCACGGCCGCACCAGGAGAGGGTAGAGCAGGAGTCCCACCCGCAGCAGCAGGTGCAGTTCCAGACGCAGCAGGAGAGAGTAGAGGAGGAGTCACGACAGCAGCAGGAGAGGGTAGCGCAGGAGTCCCGGTCGCAGCAGCGGGTACAGCTGCAGCCGCAGCAGGAGAGGGTAGAGGCGGAGCCACAGGAGCAGCAGCAGGGGCCGGTACCGTCGCAGCAGACGCCAGAGGAGGCGGAGCAGCAGCGACTGCGACTACGCGACCTCCCCGACCCAGCACCTGCACGCTTTGTTCGTGGTCCCCTGTCGTCCCCTCCTGTTCCACCAGTTGAGTCCCTTTCCTCCTCCCAGTGGACTCGTCGTCCTCCCCTCAGTCGTGCTGTGTCTCCACAGCCCCGTCGGTCCTGTTACCGTGCAGACGGTCCGTTTCACCTTGTTCTCCGCTCTCGTGTTCCACCTCCTCCTGTCCTTCCACAGCCCCCTGAGTCGTCCCTCACTGTGCTTCACGACCCGTTGTCCGACTACCTCCGTGCCTCCCGTCCTGTCGTCTCCCGTGTTTTGTCCGCGTTGGTCACTCACCCGACTGCACCTCTGTCGTCTGTCTCAGCACTTGTTACCACTGTCTCTGGCTTTGCCTCTTCCCACCGCCTTGACTACGCCGCTCACTTGGTGAGTGGCCCTGCACGTTCTCCGTCCTCTGGGGGTGCTCCTGTCTTTCCCCTGGAGGTCGTAGAGGACAGGCAGTTCGAGCTTGGTTTTCTTGCGGCCGCTGTTCCTCATCTCTGCGCCATGCTGCTTGCCCCTGAGGGGGATCCAGACGCCCTTGACATCCCGATCCCTCGCACTCACGCCGAGGCGGTCTCGGGACCCTGGGCTTCGTACTGGATAGCAGCTGAGGAGGCAGAGATGGCATCTTATAGGTCCACAGGCACTTACGTCGACGCAGTCCCACCACTTGGGACGAATGTCGTCAGTGGCCGATGGCTCTACAAGGTGAAGCAGCCGCCTGGATCACCACCTGTGTTCAAGGCACGCTATGTTGCGAGAGGCTTCAGTCAGCGAGAGAGGGTGGACTTCTTCCAGACCTTCGCTCCCACCCCGAAGATGAGTACTCTTCGGGTGTTGCTGCATATTGCAGCCCAGCGCGACTACGAGTTGCACTCCTTGGACTTTTCCACCGCGTTCCTTCAGGGGAGCCTGCACGAGCAGATCTGGCTGCGTCGCCCGCCTGGCTTCACTGGCTCTTTCCCACCTGGGACCCAGTGGCAGCTGCGTCGACCAGTCTACGGCCTGCGTCAGGCCCCACGTGAGTGGCACGACACACTTCGCTCGACCCTTGCAGCTCTTGACTTCTTTCCGTCGTCTGCTGACCCGTCACTGTTCGTTCGCCGTGGCTCGACCCCGTTCTTTGTCCTGGTCTACGTCGACGACCTAGTGTTCGCCACTCCCGACCGACGCGCGCTGGCCTCCGTGAAGGAGGAACTGCAGAGGAGACACACTTGCACTGACCTTGGTGAGCTGCAGCACTACCTTGGCCTGCAGATCACCAGGGACAGGGCAGCTCGCACCATTACGCTGACTCAGTCGCATATGGTCGAGCAGATCCTCACGCGGTTTTGCTTCCCGTTCTCCAAGGTACAGCTCACCCCTCTTGGTGTGGATCATGGGCTCACGGCTCCACCTTCGGACGAGTCATTTGAGTCCAGTGGTCCATATCCTGAGCTGGTGGGTTGTCTCATGTACCTGATGACCTGTACTCGCCCAGACCTAGCTTACCCTCTTAGCGTCCTTGCGCGCTTTGTTGCGCCTGGGAGACACCGACCTTCCCACTGGTACGCTGCTAAGAGGGTGGCGAAGTATGTGGCGAGTACATCAGGCATGGGACTTGTCCTTGGAGGGAAGAAGCCAGTTACACTCACAGGTTACTCGGACTCGTCGTGGGCCGACGACGCGGAGACGCGTCGGTCTACACACGGGTACTCCTTTAGCCTCGGGGCAGGTGCTGTTTCGTGGCGGTCGACTCGGGCGTCGTCTGTCGCCGGTTCCAGCTGTGAGGCAGAGGTGTACGCTGCGGCCATGGCCGCTCAGGAGCTTCGCTGGCTGTCTTTCCTTCTCACCGACCTTGGTGAGCGGCCTCGCTCTCCCCCAGTCTTGTTCGCCGACAACAGGTCTGCTGTCCTGTTGTGTGAGGAGCCCCGACTGGTTGGGAAGGCGAAGCACATCCAGCTTCGTTACTTCCTTCTGCGTGAGTTGCAGCAGCGTGGACAGGCACTCGTTCGACGTGTGGTCTCTGAGGCAAACACGACAGATAACTTCACCAAGGCGTTGCCGCCTTGTGACCACCAGCGTTTCTGCACCCAGCTTGGCCTTGTGCCTGCCCGTCCTCACTTGCTTGCTTAGAGATGCCTTGTTCTGCATGTCTTGTACTCTTGCATCTCTTTATATTTGCTATATACCTGCATGTGGACTGGCCTTGTGGCCCCTTGCTTGCTCTCGGAGTGTGTGGTGACTTTGAGCTCCACCCTGAGATTTGTCTTGTTCTTGTAGACTGGTCTTGTGACCGTTGCTTGCTCTTGTTGTTTCTACAGGACTTCCGTCACCTAGACTATGGGGGTGTGTCAACATATATTTTATATGTGTTGTTTAGGTTAGTCTAGGTGTTACGTTTCTACTTACTTGCATGATTAGGGTTTGCTATATCTAGGGTTGTACTTCACATTTTCTATCAATTCATTCTTATCGTAACAGCAAGCATGCTTCCGGGCGCAAGCATGCGTCTGGACGCAAGCATGCTTCCAGACGCAAGCATGCTTCCACACGCAAGCATGCTTCCGGACGCAAGCATGCGTCCGGGCGCAAGCATGCTTTCGGGCGCAAGCATGCTTCCGGACGCAAGCATGCTTTCGGGCGCAAGCATGCTTTCGGATGCAAGCATGCTTCCGGACGCAAGCATGCTTTCGGACGCAAGCATGCTTTCGGACGCAAGCATGCTTTCGGACGCAAGCATGCTTTCGGATGCAAGCATGCTTCCAGACGCAAGCATGCTTTCGGGCGAAGGCATGCTTTCGGACGCAAGCATGATTTCGGACGCAAGCATGCGTCTGGGCGCAAGCATGCTTCCGGACGCAAGCATGCTTTCGGGCGCAAGCATGCTTTCGGACGCAAGCATGCTTCCGGACGCAAGCATGCTTTCGGACGCAAGCATGCTTTCGGACGCAAGCATGCTTCCGGGCGCAAGCATGCGTCCGGGCGCAAGCATGCTTCCGGGCGCAAGCATGCGTCCGGGCGCAAGCATGCTTCCGGGCGCAAGCATGCGTCCGGACGCAAGCATGCTTCCGGCAGTGAGCATGCTTTCAAACGCAAGCATGCTTCCGGGCGCAAGCATGCGTCCGGGCGCAAGCATGCTTCCGCGCGCAAGCATGCTTCCGGACGCAAGCATGCGTCCGGACGCAAGCATGCTTCTGGCAGTGAGCATGCTTTCGGACGCAAGCATGCTTCCAGGCGCAAGCATGCGTCCAGACGCAAGCATGCTTCCAGACGCAAGCATGTTTCCGGACGCAAGCATGCTTCCGGACGCAAGCATGCGTCCGAGCGCAAGCATGCTTTCGGGCGCAAGCATGCTTCCGGACGCAAGCATGCTTTCGGACGCAAGCATGCTTTCGGACGCAAGCATGCTTTCGGACGCAAGCATGCTTTCGGATGCAAGCATGCTTTCAGACGCGAAGCATGCTTCCGGACGCAAGCATGCTTCCGGACGCAAGCATGCTTTCAGACGCAAGCATGCTTCCGGGCGCAAGCATGCTTCCGGACGCAAGCATGCTTTCGGACGCGAAGCATGCTTCCGGACGCAAGCATGCTTTCAGACGCGAAGCATGCTTCCGGACGCAAGCATGCTTCCGGACGCAAGCATGCTTTCAGACGCAAGCATGCTTCCGGACGCAAGCATGCTTTCAGACGCAAGCATGCTTCCGGGCGCAAGCATGCTTTCGGGCGCAAGCATGCTTCCGGACGCAAGCATGCTTTCGGACGCAAGCATGCTTTCGGATGCAAGCATGCTTCCGGACGCAAGCATGCTTTCGGACGCAAGCATGCTTTCGGACGCAAGCATGCTTTCGGACGCAAGCATGCTTTCGGATGCAAGCATGCTTTCAGACGCGAAGCATGCTTCCGGACGCAAGCATGCTTCCTGACGCAAGCATGCTTCCAGACGCAAGCATGCGTCCGGGCGCAAGCATGCTTCCGGACGCAAGCATGCTTTCGGACGCGAAGCATGCTTCCGGACGCAAGCATGCTTTCAGACGCGAAGCATGCTTCCGGACGCAAGCATGCTTCCGGACGCAAGCATGCTTTCAGACGCAAGCATGCTTCCGGGCGCAAGCATGCTTTCGGGCGCAAGCATGCTTCCGGACGCAAGCATGCTTTCGGACGCAAGCATGCTTTCGGATGCAAGCATGCTTCCGGACGCAAGCATGCTTTCGGACGCAAGCATGCTTTCGGACGCAAGCATGCTTTCGGACGCAAGCATGCTTTCGGACGCAAGCATGCTTTCGGATGCAAGCATGCTTCTGGACGCAAGCATGCTTTCGGACGCAAGCATGCTTTCGGACGCAAGCATGCTTTCGGACGCAAGCATGCTTCCGGACGCAAGCATGCTTTCGGGCGCAAGCATGCTTTCAGACGCAAGCATGCGTCCGGGCGCAAGCATGCTTTCAGACGCGAAGCATGCTTCCGGACGCAAGCATGCTTCCGGACGCAAGCATGCTTTCAGACGCAAGCATGCTTCCGGGCGCAAGCATGCTTTCGGGCGCAAGCATGCTTCCGGACGCAAGCATGCTTTCGGACGCAAGCATGCTTTCGGATGCAAGCATGCGTCCGGGCGCAAGCATGCTTCCGGACGCAAGCATGCTTTCGGACGCGAAGCATGCTTCCGGACGCAAGCATGCTTTCAGACGCGAAGCATGCTTCCGGACGCAAGCATGCTTCCGGACGCAAGCATGCTTTCAGACGCAAGCATGCTTCCGGGCGCAAGCATGCTTTCGGGCGCAAGCATGCTTCCGGACGCAAGCATGCTTTCGGACGCAAGCATGCTTTCGGATGCAAGCATGCTTCCGGACGCAAGCATGCTTTCGGACGCAAGCATGCTTTCGGACGCAAGCATGCTTTCGGACGCAAGCATGCTTTCGGACGCAAGCATGCTTTCGGATGCAAGCATGCTTCTGGACGCAAGCATGCTTTCGGGCGCAAGCATGCTTTCGGACGCAAGCATGCTTTCGGACGCAAGCATGCTTCCGGACGCAAGCATGCTTTCGGGCGCAAGCATGCTTCCGGACGCAAGCATGCGTCCGGGCGCAAGCATGCTTCTGGCAGTGAGCATGCTTTCGGACGCAAGCATGCTTCCGGGCGCAAGCATGCGTCCGGACGCAAGCATGCTTCCGGACGCAAGCATGCTTCCGGACGCAAGCATGCTTCCGGACGCAAGCATGCTTTCGGACGCAAGCATGCTTTCGGACGCAAGCATGCTTCCGGACGCAAGCATGCTTTCGGGCGCAAGCATGCTTCCGGACGCAAGCATGCGTCCGGACGCAAGCATGCTTCTGGCAGTGAGCATGCTTTCGGACGCAAGCATGCTTCCGGGCGCAAGCATGCGTCCGGACGCAAGCATGCTTCCGGACGCAAGCATGCTTCCGGACGCAAGCATGCTTCCGGACGCAAGCATGCGTCCGGGCGCAAGCATGCTTCTGGACGCAAGCATGCTTTCGGACGCAAGCATGCTTTCGGACGCAAGCATGCTTCCGGACGCAAGCATGCTTTCGGACGCAAGCATGCGTCCGGGCGCAAGCATGCTTCCGGACGCAAGCATGCTTTCGGGCGCAAGCATGCTTTCGGACGCAAGCATGCTTTCGGACGCAAGCATGCTTTCGGACGCAAGCATGCGTCCGGACGCAAGCATGCTTCCGGACGCAAGCATGCGTCCGGGCGCAAGCATGCTTTCGGATGCAAGCATGCTTCTGGACGCAAGCATGCTTTCGGGCGCAAGCATGCTTTCGGACGCAAGCATGCTTTCGGACGCAAGCATGCTTCCGGACGCAAGCATGCTTTCGGGCGCAAGCATGCTTCCGGACGCAAGCATGCGTCCGGACGCAAGCATGCTTCTGGCAGTGAGCATGCTTTCGGACGCAAGCATGCTTCCGGGCGCAAGCATGCGTCCGGACGCAAGCATGCTTCCGGACGCAAGCATGCTTCCGGACGCAAGCATGCTTCCAGACGCAAGCATGCGTCCGGGCGCAAGCATGCTTCTGGACGCAAGCATGCTTTCGGACGCAAGCATGCTTTCGGACGCAAGCATGCTTCCGGACGCAAGCATGCTTTCGGACGCAAGCATGCGTCCGGGCGCAAGCATGCTTCCGGACGCAAGCATGCTTTCGGGCGCAAGCATGCTTCCGGACGCAAGCATGCTTTCGGACGCAAGCATGCTTTCGGACGCAAGCATGCGTCCGGACGCAAGCATGCTTCCGGACGCAAGCATGCGTCCGGGCGCAAGCATGCTTTCGGATGCAAGCATGCTTCTGGACGCAAGCATGCTTTCGGGCGCAAGCATGCTTTCGGACGCAAGCATGCTTTCGGACGCAAGCATGCTTCCGGACGCAAGCATGCTTTCGGGCGCAAGCATGCTTCCGGACGCAAGCATGCGTCCGGACGCAAGCATGCTTCTGGCAGTGAGCATGCTTTCGGACGCAAGCATGCTTCCGGGCGCAAGCATGCTTTCAGACGCAAGCATGCGTCCGGACGCAAGCATGCTTCCGGACGCAAGCATGCTTTCGGGCGCAAGCATGCTTCCGGATGCAAGCATGCTTCCGGACGCAAGCATGCTTCTGGCAGTGAGCATGCTTTCGGACGCAAGCATGCTTCCGGGCGCAAGCATGCTTTCGGATGCAAGCATGCTTCTGGACGCAAGCATGCTTTCGGGCGCAAGCATGCGTCCGGACGCAAGCATGCTTCCGGACGCAAGCATGCTTTCAGACGCAAGCATGCGTCCGGACGCAAGCATGCTTCCGGACGCAAGCATGCTTTCGGGCGCAAGCATGCTTCCGGGTGCAAGCATGCTTCCGGACGCAAGCATGCTTCTGGCAGTGAGCATGCTTTCGGACGCAAGCATGCGTCCGGGCGCAAGCATGCTTTCGGACGCAAGCATGCTTCTGGACGCAAGCATGCTTTCGGGCGCAAGCATGCTTTCGGACGCAAGCATGCTTTCGGACGCAAGCATGCTTCCGGACGCAAGCATGCTTTCGGGCGCAAGCATGCGTCCGGGCGCAAGCATGCTTCTGGACGCAAGCATGCTTTCGGACGCAAGCATGCTTTCGGACGCAAGCATGCTTCCGGACGCAAGCATGCTTTCGGACGCAAGCATGCGTCCGGGCGCAAGCATGCTTCCGGACGCAAGCATGCTTTCGGGCGCAAGCATGCTTCCGGACGCAAGCATGCTTTCGGACGCAAGCATGCTTTCGGACGCAAGCATGCGTCCGGACGCAAGCATGCTTCCGGACGCAAGCATGCGTCCGGGCGCAAGCATGCTTTCGGATGCAAGCATGCTTCTGGACGCAAGCATGCTTTCGGGCGCAAGCATGCTTTCGGACGCAAGCATGCTTTCGGACGCAAGCATGCTTCCGGACGCAAGCATGCTTTCGGGCGCAAGCATGCTTCCGAACGCAAGCATGCGTCCGGACGCAAGCATGCTTCTGGCAGTGAGCATGCTTTCGGACGCAAGCATGCTTCCGGGCGCAAGCATGCTTTCAGACGCAAGCATGCGTCCGGACGCAAGCATGCTTCCGGACGCAAGCATGCTTTCGGGCGCAAGCATGCTTCCGGACGCAAGCATGCTTCCGGACGCAAGCATGCTTCTGGCAGTGAGCATGCTTTCGGACGCAAGCATGCTTCCGGGCGCAAGCATGCTTTCGGATGCAAGCATGCTTCTGGACGCAAGCATGCTTTCGGGCGCAAGCATGCTTTCGGATGCAAGCATGCTTTCAGACGCGAAGCATGCTTCCGGACGCAAGCATGCTTCCGGACGCAAGCATGCTTTCAGACGCAAGCATGCTTCCGGGCGCAAGCATGCTTCCGGACGCAAGCATGCTTTCGGACGCGAAGCATGCTTCCGGACGCAAGCATGCTTTCAGACGCGAAGCATGCTTCCGGACGCAAGCATGCTTCCGGACGCAAGCATGCTTTCAGACGCAAGCATGCTTCCGGACGCAAGCATGCTTTCAGACGCAAGCATGCTTCCGGGCGCAAGCATGCTTTCGGGCGCAAGCATGCTTCCGGACGCAAGCATGCTTTCGGACGCAAGCATGCTTTCGGGCGCAAGCATGCTTCCGGACGCAAGCATGCTTTCGGACGCAAGCATGCTTTCGGATGCAAGCATGCGTCCGGGCGCAAGCATGCTTCCGGACGCAAGCATGCTTTCGGACGCGAAGCATGCTTCCGGACGCAAGCATGCTTTCAGACGCGAAGCATGCTTCCGGACGCAAGCATGCTTCCGGACGCAAGCATGCTTTCAGACGCAAGCATGCTTCCGGGCGCAAGCATGCTTTCGGGCGCAAGCATGCTTCCGGACGCAAGCATGCTTTCGGACGCAAGCATGCTTTCGGATGCAAGCATGCTTCCGGACGCAAGCATGCTTTCGGACGCAAGCATGCTTTCGGACGCAAGCATGCTTTCGGACGCAAGCATGCTTTCGGACGCAAGCATGCTTTCGGATGCAAGCATGCTTCTGGACGCAAGCATGCTTTCGGGCGCAAGCATGCTTCCGGGCGCAAGCATGCTTCCGGACGCAAGCATGCTTCTGGCAGTGAGCATGCTTTCGGACGCAAGCATGCGTCCGGGCGCAAGCATGCTTTCGGACGCAAGCATGCTTCTGGACGCAAGCATGCTTTCGGGCGCAAGCATGCTTTCGGACGCAAGCATGCTTTCGGACGCAAGCATGCTTCCGGACGCAAGCATGCTTTCGGGCGCAAGCATGCGTCCGGGCGCAAGCATGCTTCTGGACGCAAGCATGCTTTCGGACGCAAGCATGCTTTCGGACGCAAGCATGCTTCCGGACGCAAGCATGCTTTCGGACGCAAGCATGCGTCCGGGCGCAAGCATGCTTCCGGACGCAAGCATGCTTTCGGGCGCAAGCATGCTTCCGGACGCAAGCATGCTTTCGGACGCAAGCATGCTTTCGGACGCAAGCATGCGTCCGGACGCAAGCATGCTTCCGGACGCAAGCATGCGTCCGGGCGCAAGCATGCTTTCGGATGCAAGCATGCTTCTGGACGCAAGCATGCTTTCGGGCGCAAGCATGCTTTTGGACGCAAGCATGCTTTCGGACGCAAGCATGCTTCCGGACGCAAGCATGCTTTCGGGCGCAAGCATGCTTCCGGACGCAAGCATGCGTCCGGACGCAAGCATGCTTCTGGCAGTGAGCATGCTTTCGGACGCAAGCATGCTTCCGGGCGCAAGCATGCTTTCAGACGCAAGCATGCGTCCGGACGCAAGCATGCTTCCGGACGCAAGCATGCTTTCGGGCGCAAGCATGCTTCCGGACGCAAGCATGCTTCCGGACGCAAGCATGCTTCTGGCAGTGAGCATGCTTTCGGACGCAAGCATGCTTCCGGGCGCAAGCATGCTTTCGGATGCAAGCATGCTTCTGGACGCAAGCATGCTTTCGGGCGCAAGCATGCTTTCGGATGCAAGCATGCTTTCAGACGCGAAGCATGCTTCCGGACGCAAGCATGCTTCCGGACGCAAGCATGCTTTCAGACGCAAGCATGCTTCCGGGCGCAAGCATGCTTCCGGACGCAAGCATGCTTTCGGACGCGAAGCATGCTTCCGGACGCAAGCATGCTTTCAGACGCGAAGCATGCTTCCGGACGCAAGCATGCTTCCGGACGCAAGCATGCTTTCAGACGCAAGCATGCTTCCGGACGCAAGCATGCTTTCAGACGCAAGCATGCTTCCGGGCGCAAGCATGCTTTCGGGCGCAAGCATGCTTCCGGACGCAAGCATGCTTTCGGACGCAAGCATGCTTTCGGGCGCAAGCATGCTTCCGGATGCAAGCATGCTTTCGGACGCAAGCATGCTTTCGGATGCAAGCATGCGTCCGGGCGCAAGCATGCTTCCGGACGCAAGCATGCTTTCGGACGCGAAGCATGCTTCCGGACGCAAGCATGCTTTCAGACGCGAAGCATGCTTCCGGACGCAAGCATGCTTCCGGACGCAAGCATGCTTTCAGACGCAAGCATGCTTCCGGGCGCAAGCATGCTTTCGGGCGCAAGCATGCTTCCGGACGCAAGCATGCTTTCGGACGCAAGCATGCTTTCGGATGCAAGCATGCTTCCGGACGCAAGCATGCTTTCGGACGCAAGCATGCTTTCGGACGCAAGCATGCTTTCGGACGCAAGCATGCTTTCGGACGCAAGCATGCTTTCGGATGCAAGCATGCTTCTGGACGCAAGCATGCTTTCGGGCGCAAGCATGCTTTCGGACGCAAGCATGCTTTCGGACGCAAGCATGCTTCCGGACGCAAGCATGCTTTCGGGCGCAAGCATGCTTCCGGACGCAAGCATGCGTCCGGGCGCAAGCATGCTTCTGGCAGTGAGCATGCTTTCGGACGCAAGCATGCTTCCGGGCGCAAGCATGCGTCCGGACGCAAGCATGCTTCCGGACGCAAGCATGCTTCCGGACGCAAGCATGCTTCCGGACGCAAGCATGCTTTCGGACGCAAGCATGCTTTCGGACGCAAGCATGCTTCCGGACGCAAGCATGCTTTCGGGCGCAAGCATGCTTCCGGACGCAAGCATGCGTCCGGACGCAAGCATGCTTCTGGCAGTGAGCATGCTTTCGGACGCAAGCATGCTTCCGGGCGCAACCATGCGTCCGGACGCAAGCATGCTTCCGGACGCAAGCATGCTTCCGGACGCAAGCATGCTTCCGGACGCAAGCATGCGTCCGGGCGCAAGCATGCTTCTGGACGCAAGCATGCTTTCGGACGCAAGCATGCTTTCGGACGCAAGCATGCTTCCGGACGCAAGCATGCTTTCGGACGCAAGCATGCGTCCGGGCGCAAGCATGCTTCCGGACGCAAGCATGCTTTCGGGCGCAAGCATGCTTTCGGACGCAAGCATGCTTTCGGACGCAAGCATGCTTTCGGACGCAAGCATGCGTCCGGACGCAAGCATGCTTCCGGACGCAAGCATGCGTCCGGGCGCAAGCATGCTTTCGGATGCAAGCATGCTTCTGGACGCAAGCATGCTTTCGGGCGCAAGCATGCTTTCGGACGCAAGCATGCTTTCGGACGCAAGCATGCTTCCGGACGCAAGCATGCTTTCGGGCGCAAGCATGCTTCCGGACGCAAGCATGCGTCCGGACGCAAGCATGCTTCTGGCAGTGAGCATGCTTTCGGACGCAAGCATGCTTCCGGGCGCAAGCATGCGTCCGGACGCAAGCATGCTTCCGGACGCAAGCATGCTTCCGGACGCAAGCATGCTTCCGGACGCAAGCATGCGTCCGGGCGCAAGCATGCTTCTGGACGCAAGCATGCTTTCGGACGCAAGCATGCTTTCGGACGCAAGCATGCTTCCGGACGCAAGCATGCTTTCGGACGCAAGCATGCGTCCGGGCGCAAGCATGCTTCCGGACGCAAGCATGCTTTCGGGCGCAAGCATGCTTCCGGACGCAAGCATGCTTTCGGACGCAAGCATGCTTTCGGACGCAAGCATGCGTCCGGACGCAAGCATGCTTCCGGACGCAAGCATGCGTCCGGGCGCAAGCATGCTTTCGGATGCAAGCATGCTTCTGGACGCAAGCATGCTTTCGGGCGCAAGCATGCTTTCGGACGCAAGCATGCTTTCGGACGCAAGCATGCTTCCGGACGCAAGCATGCTTTCGGGCGCAAGCATGCTTCCGGACGCAAGCATGCGTCCGGACGCAAGCATGCTTCTGGCAGTGAGCATGCTTTCGGACGCAAGCATGCTTCCGGGCGCAAGCATGCTTTCAGACGCAAGCATGCGTCCGGACGCAAGTATGCTTCCGGACGCAAGCATGCTTTCGGGCGCAAGCATGCTTCCGGACGCAAGCATGCTTCCGGACGCAAGCATGCTTCTGGCAGTGAGCATGCTTTCGGACGCAAGCATGCTTCCGGGCGCAAGCATGCTTTCGGATGCAAGCATGCTTCTGGACGCAAGCATGCTTTCGGGCGCAAGCATGCGTCCGGACGCAAGCATGCTTCCGGACGCAAGCATGCTTTCAGACGCAAGCATGCGTCCGGACGCAAGCATGCTTCCGGACGCAAGCATGCTTTCGGGCGCAAGCATGCTTCCGGGCGCAAGCATGCTTCCGGACGCAAGCATGCTTCTGGCAGTGAGCATGCTTTCGGACGCAAGCATGCGTCCGGGCGCAAGCATGCTTTCGGACGCAAGCATGCTTCTGGACGCAAGCATGCTTTCGGGCGCAAGCATGCTTTCGGACGCAAGCATGCTTTCGGACGCAAGCATGCTTCCGGACGCAAGCATGCTTTCGGGCGCAAGCATGCGTCCGGGCGCAAGCATGCTTCTGGACGCAAGCATGCTTTCGGACGCAAGCATGCTTTCGGACGCAAGCATGCTTCCGGACGCAAGCATGCTTTCGGACGCAAGCATGCGTCCGGGCGCAAGCATGCTTCCGGACGCAAGCATGCTTTCGGGCGCAAGCATGCTTCCGGACGCAAGCATGCTTTCGGACGCAAGCATGCTTTCGGACGCAAGCATGCGTCCGGACGCAAGCATGCTTCCGGACGCAAGCATGCGTCCGGGCGCAAGCATGCTTTCGGATGCAAGCATGCTTCTGGACGCAAGCATGCTTTCGGGCGCAAGCATGCTTTCGGACGCAAGCATGCTTTCGGACGCAAGCATGCTTCCGGACGCAAGCATGCTTTCGGGCGCAAGCATGCTTCCGGACGCAAGCATGCGTCCGGACGCAAGCATGCTTCTGGCAGTGAGCATGCTTTCGGACGCAAGCATGCTTCCGGGCGCAAGCATGCTTTCAGACGCAAGCATGCGTCCGGACGCAAGCATGCTTCCGGACGCAAGCATGCTTTCGGGCGCAAGCATGCTTCCGGACGCAAGCATGCTTCCGGACGCAAGCATGCTTCTGGCAGTGAGCATGCTTTCGGACGCAAGCATGCTTCCGGGCGCAAGCATGCTTTCGGATGCAAGCATGCTTCTGGACGCAAGCATGCTTTCGGGCGCAAAAATGCGTCCGGACGCAAGCATGCTTCCGGACGCAAGCATGCTTTCAGACGCAAGCATGCGTCCGGACGCAAGCATGCTTCCGGACGCAAGCATGCTTTCGGGCGCAAGCATGCTTCCGGGCGCAAGCATGCTTCCGGACGCAAGCATGCTTCTGGCAGTGAGCATGCTTTCGGACGCAAGCATGCGTCCGGGCGCAAGCATGCTTTCGGACGCAAGCATGCTTCTGGACGCAAGCATGCTTTCGGGCGCAAGCATGCTTTCGGACGCAAGCATGCGTCCGGACGCAAGCATGCTTCCGGACGCAAGCATGCGTCCGGGCGCAAGCATGCTTTCGGATGCAAGCATGCTTCTGGACGCAAGCATGCTTTCGGGCGCAAGCATGCTTTCGGACGCAAGCATGCTTTCGGACGCAAGCATGCTTCCGGACGCAAGCATGCTTTCGGGCGCAAGCATGCTTCCGGACGCAAGCATGCGTCCGGACGCAAGCATGCTTCTGGCAGTGAGCATGCTTTCGGACGCAAGCATGCTTCCGGGCGCAAGCATGCTTTCAGACGCAAGCATGCGTCCGGACGCAAGCATGCTTCCGGACGCAAGCATGCTTTCGGGCGCAAGCATGCTTCCGGACGCAAGCATGCTTCCGGACGCAAGCATGCTTCTGGCAGTGAGCATGCTTTCGGACGCAAGCATGCTTCCGGGCGCAAGCATGCTTTCAGACGCAAGCATGCGTCCGGACGCAAGCATGCTTCCGGACGCAAGCATGCTTTCGGGCGCAAGCATGCTTCCGGACGCAAGCATGCTTCCGGACGCAAGCATGCTTCTGGCAGTGAGCATGCTTTCGGACGCAAGCATGCGTCCGGGCGCAAGCATGCTTTCGGATGCAAGCATGCTTCTGGACGCAAGCATGCTTTCGGGCGCAAGCATGCTTTCGGACGCAAGCATGCTTTCGGACGCAAGCATGCTTCCGGACGCAAGCATGCTTTCGGGCGCAAGCATGCTTCCGGACGCAAGCATGCGTCCGGGCGCAAGCATGCTTCTGGCAGTGAGCATGCTTTCGGACGCAAGCATGCTTCCGGGCGCAAGCATGCGTCCGGACGCAAGCATGCTTCCGGACGCAAGCATGCTTCCGGACGCAAGCATGCTTCCGGACGCAAGCATGCTTTCGGACGCAAGCATGCTTTCGGACGCAAGCATGCTTCCGGACGCAAGCATGCTTTCGGGCGCAAGCATGCTTCCGGACGCAAGCATGCGTCCGGACGCAAGCATGCTTCTGGCAGTGAGCATGCTTTCGGACGCAAGCATGCTTCCGGGCGCAAGCATGCGTCCGGACGCAAGCATGCTTCCGGACGCAAGCATGCTTCCGGACGCAAGCATGCTTCCGGACGCAAGCATGCGTCCGGGCGCAAGCATGCTTCTGGACGCAAGCATGCTTTCGGACGCAAGCATGCTTTCGGACGCAAGCATGCTTCCGGACGCAAGCATGCTTTCGGACGCAAGCATGCGTCCGGGCGCAAGCATGCTTCCGGACGCAAGCATGCTTTCGGGCGCAAGCATGCTTCCGGACGCAAGCATGCTTTCGGACGCAAGCATGCTTTCGGACGCAAGCATGCGTCCGGACGCAAGCATGCTTCCGGACGCAAGCATGCGTCCGGGCGCAAGCATGCTTTCGGATGCAAGCATGCTTCTGGACGCAAGCATGCTTTCGGGCGCAAGCATGCTTTCGGACGCAAGCATGCTTTCGGACGCAAGCATGCTTCCGGACGCAAGCATGCTTTCGGGCGCAAGCATGCTTCCGGACGCAAGCATGCGTCCGGACGCAAGCATGCTTCTGGCAGTGAGCATGCTTTCGGACGCAAGCATGCTTCCGGGCGCAAGCATGCGTCCGGACGCAAGCATGCTTTCGGACGCAAGCATGCTTCCGGACGCAAGCATGCTTCCGGATGCAAGCATGCGTCCGGGCGCAAGCATGCTTCTGGACGCAAGCATGCTTTCGGACGCAAGCATGCTTTCGGACGCAAGCATGCTTCCGGACGCAAGCATGCTTTCGGACGCAAGCATGCGTCCGGGCGCAAGCATGCTTCCGGACGCAAGCATGCTTTCGGGCGCAAGCATGCTTTCGGACGCAAGCATGCTTTCGGACGCAAGCATGCTTTCGGACGCAAGCATGCGTCCGGACGCAAGCATGCTTCCGGACGCAAGCATGCGTCCGGGCGCAAGCATGCTTTCGGATGCAAGCATGCTTCTGGACGCAAGCATGCTTTCGGGCGCAAGCATGCTTTCGGACGCAAGCATGCTTTCGGACGCAAGCATGCTTCCGGACGCAAGCATGCTTTCGGGCGCAAGCATGCTTCCGGACGCAAGCATGCGTCCGGACGCAAGCATGCTTCTGGCAGTGAGCATGCTTTCGGACGCAAGCATGCTTCCGGGCGCAAGCATGCTTTCAGACGCAAGCATGCGTCCGGGCGCAAGCATGCTTTCAGACGCGAAGCATGCTTCCGGACGCAAGCATGCTTCCGGACGCAAGCATGCTTTCAGACGCAAGCATGCTTCCGGGCGCAAGCATGCTTTCGGGCGCAAGCATGCTTCCGGACGCAAGCATGCTTTCGGACGCAAGCATGCTTTCGGATGCAAGCATGCGTCCGGGCGCAAGCATGCTTCCGGACGCAAGCATGCTTTCGGACGCGAAGCATGCTTCCGGACGCAAGCATGCTTTCAGATGCGAAGCATGCTTCCGGACGCAAGCATGCTTCCGGACGCAAGCATGCTTTCAGACGCAAGCATGCTTCCGGGCGCAAGCATGCTTTCGGGCGCAAGCATGCTTCCGGACGCAAGCATGCTTTCGGACGCAAGCATGCTTTCGGATGCAAGCATGCTTCCGGACGCAAGCATGCTTTCGGACGCAAGCATGCTTTCGGACGCAAGCATGCTTTCGGATGCAAGCATGCTTTCAGACGCGAAGCATGCTTCCGGACGCAAGCATGCTTCCGGACGCAAGCATGCTTTTTGACGCAAGCATGCTTCCGGGCGCAAGCATGCTTCCGGACGCAAGCATGCTTTCGGACGCGAAGCATGCTTCCGGACGCAAGCATGCTTTCAGACGCGAAGCATGCTTCCGGACGCAAGCATGCTTCCGGACGCAAGCATGCTTTCAGACGCAAGCATGCTTCCGGACGCAAGCATGCTTTCAGACGCAAGCATGCTTCCGGGCGCAAGCATGCTTTCGGGCGCAAGCATGCTTCCGGACGCAAGCATGCTTTCGGACGCAAGCATGCTTTCGGATGCAAGCATGCTTCCGGACGCAAGCATGCTTTCGGACGCAAGCATGCTTTCGGACGCAAGCATGCTTTCGGACGCAAGCATGCTTTCGGATGCAAGCATGCTTTCAGACGCGAAGCATGCTTCCGGACGCAAGCATGCTTCCGGACGCAAGCATGCTTCCAGACGCAAGCATGCGTCCGGGCGCAAGCATGCTTCCGGACGCAAGCATGCTTTCGGACGCGAAGCATGCTTCCGGACGCAAGCATGCTTTCAGACGCGAAGCATGCTTCCGGACGCAAGCATGCTTCCGGACGCAAGCATGCTTTCAGACGCAAGCATGCTTCCGGGCGCAAGCATGCTTTCGGGCGCAAGCATGCTTCCGGACGCAAGCATGCTTTCGGACGCAAGCATGCTTTCGGATGCAAGCATGCTTCCGGACGCAAGCATGCTTTCGGACGCAAGCATGCTTTCGGACGCAAGCATGCTTTCGGACGCAAGCATGCTTTCGGACGCAAGCATGCTTTCGGATGCAAGCATGCTTCTGGACGCAAGCATGCTTTCGGACGCAAGCATGCTTTCGGACGCAAGCATGCTTTCGGACGCAAGCATGCTTCCGGACGCAAGCATGCTTTCGGGCGCAAGCATGCTTTCAGACGCAAGCATGCGTCCGGGCGCAAGCATGCTTTCAGACGCGAAGCATGCTTCCGGACGCAAGCATGCTTCCGGACGCAAGCATGCTTTCAGACGCAAGCATGCTTCCGGGCGCAAGCATGCTTTCGGGCGCAAGCATGCTTCCGGACGCAAGCATGCTTTCGGACGCAAGCATGCTTTCGGATGCAAGCATGCGTCCGGGCGCAAGCATGCTTCCGGACGCAAGCATGCTTTCGGACGCGAAGCATGCTTCCGGACGCAAGCATGCTTTCAGACGCGAAGCATGCTTCCGGACGCAAGCATGCTTCCGGACGCAAGCATGCTTTCAGACGCAAGCATGCTTCCGGGCGCAAGCATGCTTTCGGGCGCAAGCATGCTTCCGGACGCAAGCATGCTTTCGGACGCAAGCATGCTTTCGGATGCAAGCATGCTTCCGGACGCAAGCATGCTTTCGGACGCAAGCATGCTTTCGGACGCAAGCATGCTTTCGGACGCAAGCATGCTTTCGGACGCAAGCATGATTTCGGATGCAAGCATGCTTCTGGACGCAAGCATGCTTTCGGGCGCAAGCATGCTTTCGGACGCAAGCATGCTTTCGGACGCAAGCATGCTTCCGGACGCAAGCATGCTTTCGGGCGCAAGCATGCTTCCGGACGCAAGCATGCGTCCGGGCGCAAGCATGCTTCTGGCAGTGAGCATGCTTTCGGACGCAAGCATGCTTCCGGGCGCAAGCATGCGTCCGGACGCAAGCATGCTTCCGGACGCAAGCATGCTTCCGGACGCAAGCATGCTTCCGGACGCAAGCATGCTTTCGGACGCAAGCATGCTTTCGGACGCAAGCATGCTTCCGGACGCAAGCATGCTTTCGGGCGCAAGCATGCTTCCGGACGCAAGCATGCGTCCGGACGCAAGCATGCTTCTGGCAGTGAGCATGCTTTCGGACGCAAGCATGCTTCCGGGCGCAAGCATGCGTCCGGACGCAAGCATGCTTCCGGACGCAAGCATGCTTCCGGACGCAAGCATGCTTCCGGACGCAAGCATGCGTCCGGGCGCAAGCATGCTTCTGGACGCAAGCATGCTTTCGGACGCAAGCATGCTTTCGGACGCAAGCATGCTTCCGGACGCAAGCATGCTTTCGGACGCAAGCATGCGTCCGGGCGCAAGCATGCTTCCGGACGCAAGCATGCTTTCGGGCGCAAGCATGCTTTCGGACGCAAGCATGCTTTCGGACGCAAGCATGCTTTCGGACGCAAGCATGCGTCCGGACGCAAGCATGCTTCCGGACGCAAGCATGCGTCCGGGCGCAAGCATGCTTTCGGATGCAAGCATGCTTCTGGATGCAAGCATGCTTTCGGGCGCAAGCATGCTTTCGGACGCAAGCATGCTTTCGGACGCAAGCATGCTTCCGGACGCAAGCATGCTTTCGGGCGCAAGCATGCTTCCGGACGCAAGCATGCGTCCGGACGCAAGCATGCTTCTGGCAGTGAGCATGCTTTCGGACGCAAGCATGCTTCCGGGCGCAAGCATGCGTCCGGACGCAAGCATGCTTCCGGACGCAAGCATGCTTCCGGACGCAAGCATGCTTCCGGACGCAAGCATGCGTCCGGGCGCAAGCATGCTTCTGGACGCAAGCATGCTTTCGGACGCAAGCATGCTTTCGGACGCAAGCATGCTTCCGGACGCAAGCATGCTTTCGGACGCAAGCATGCGTCCGGGCGCAAGCATGCTTCCGGACGCAAGCATGCTTTCGGGCGCAAGCATGCTTCCGGACGCAAGCATGCTTTCGGACGCAAGCATGCTTTCGGACGCAAGCATGCGTCCGGACGCAAGCATGCTTCCGGACGCAAGCATGCGTCCGGGCGCAAGCATGCTTTCGGATGCAAGCATGCTTCTGGACGCAAGCATGCTTTCGGGCGCAAGCATGCTTTCGGACGCAAGCATGCTTTCGGACGCAAGCATGCTTCCGGACGCAAGCATGCTTTCGGGCGCAAGCATGCTTCCGGACGCAAGCATGCGTCCGGACGCAAGCATGCTTCTGGCAGTGAGCATGCTTTCGGACGCAAGCATGCTTCCGGGCGCAAGCATGCGTCCGGACGCAAGCATGCTTCCGGACGCAAGCATGCTTCCGGACGCAAGCATGCTTCCGGACGCAAGCATGCGTCCGGGCGCAAGCATGCTTCTGGACGCAAGCATGCTTTCGGACGCAAGCATGCTTTCGGACGCAAGCATGCTTCCGGACGCAAGCATGCTTTCGGACGCAAGCATGCGTCCGGGCGCAAGCATGCTTCCGGACGCAAGCATGCTTTCGGGCGCAAGCATGCTTTCGGACGCAAGCATGCTTTCGGACGCAAGCATGCTTTCGGACGCAAGCATGCGTCCGGACGCAAGCATGCTTCCGGACGCAAGCATGCGTCCGGGCGCAAGCATGCTTTCGGATGCAAGCATGCTTCTGGACGCAAGCATGCTTTCGGGCGCAAGCATGCTTTCGGACGCAAGCATGCTTTCGGACGCAAGCATGCTTCCGGACGCAAGCATGCTTTCGGGCGCAAGCATGCTTCCGGACGCAAGCATGCGTCCGGACGCAAGCATGCTTCTGGCAGTGAGCATGCTTTCGGACGCAAGCATGCTTCCGGGCGCAAGCATGCGTCCGGACGCAAGCATGCTTCCGGACGCAAGCATGCTTCCGGACGCAAGCATGCTTCCGGACGCAAGCATGCGTCCGGGCGCAAGCATGCTTCTGGACGCAAGCATGCTTTCGGACGCAAGCATGCTTTCGGACGCAAGCATGCTTCCGGACGCAAGCATGCTTTCGGACGCAAGCATGCGTCCGGGCGCAAGCATGCTTCCGGACGCAAGCATGCTTTCGGGCGCAAGCATGCTTTCGGACGCAAGCATGCTTTCGGACGCAAGCATGATTTCGGACGCAAGCATGCGTCCGGACGCAAGCATGCTTCCGGACGCAAGCATGCGTCCGGGCGCAAGCATGCTTTCGGATGCAAGCATGCTTCTGGACGCAAGCATGCTTTCGGGCGCAAGCATGCTTTCGGACGCAAGCATGCTTTCGGACGCAAGCATGCTTCCGGACGCAAGCATGCTTTCGGGCGCAAGCATGCTTCCGGACGCAAGCATGCGTCCGGACGCAAGCATGCTTCTGGCAGTGAGCATGCTTTCGGACGCAAGCATGCTTCCGGGCGCAAGCATGCGTCCGGACGCAAGCATGCTTCCGGACGCAAGCATGCTTCCGGACGCAAGCATGCTTCCGGACGCAAGCATGCGTCCGGGCGCAAGCATGCTTCTGGACGCAAGCATGCTTTCGGACGCAAGCATGCTTTCGGACGCAAGCATGCTTCCGGACGCAAGCATGCTTTCGGACGCAAGCATGCGTCCGGGCGCAAGCATGCTTCCGGACGCAAGCATGCTTTCGGGCGCAAGCATGCTTTCGGACGCAAGCATGCTTTCGGACGCAAGCATGCTTTCGGACGCAAGCATGCGTCCGGACGCAAGCATGCTTCCGGACGCAAGCATGCGTCCGGGCGCAAGCATGCTTCCGGGCGCAAGCATGCTTTCGGGCGCAAGCATGCGTCCGGGCGCAAGCATGCTTTCGGGCGCAAGCATGCTTTCGGACGCAAGCATGCTTCCGGACGCTAGCATGCGTCCGGGCGCAAGCATGCTTCCGGAAGCAAGCATGCTTCCGGACGCAAGCATGCGTCCGGGCGCAAGCATGCTTCCGGACGCAAGCATGCTTTCGGACGCGAAGCATGCTTCCGGACGCAAGCATGCTTTCAGACGCGAAGCATGCTTCCGGACGCAAGCATGCTTCCGGACGCAAGCATGCTTTCAGACGCAAGCATGCTTCCGGGCGCAAGCATGCTTTCGGGCGCAAGCATGCTTCCGGACGCAAGCATGCTTTCGGACGCAAGCATGCTTTCGGATGCAAGCATGCTTCCGGACGCAAGCATGCTTTCGGACGCAAGCATGCTTTCGGACGCAAGCATGCTTTCGGACGCAAGCATGATTTCGGACGCAAGCATGCTTTCGGATGCAAGCATGCTTCTGGACGCAAGCATGCTTTCGGGCGCAAGCATGCTTTCGGACGCAAGCATGCTTTCGGACGCAAGCATGCTTCCGGACGCAAGCATGCTTTCGGGCGCAAGCATGGTTTCGGACGCAAGCATGCTTCCGGACGCATGCATGCTTTCGGGCGCAAGCATGGTTTCGGACGCAAGCATGCTTCCGGGCGCAAGCATGCTTTCGGGCGCAAGCATGCTTTCGGACGCAAGCATGCTTCCGGACGCAAGCATGCTTCTGGACGCAAGCATGCTTTCGGACGCAAGCATGCTTTCGGGCGCAAGCATGCTTTCGGACGCAAGCATACTTCCGGGCGCAAGCATGCGTCCGGGCGCAAGCATGCTTCCGGGCGCAAGCATGCGTCCGGACGCAAGCATGCTTCCGGCAGTGAGCATGCTTTCGGACGCAAGCATGCTTCCGGGCGCAAGCATGCGTCCGGCCGCAAGCATGCTTCCGGGCGCAAGCATGCTTCTGGCAGTGAGCATGCTTTCGGACGCAAGCATGCTTCCGGACGCAAGCATGCGTCCGGGCGCAAGCATGCTTCCGGACGCAAGCATGCTTCCGGACGCAAGCATGCTTTCGGACGCAAGCATGCTTCCAGACGCAAGCATGCTTTCGGACGCAAGCATGCGTCCGGACGAAAGCATGCTTCCGGACGCAAGCATGCTTCCGGACGCAAGCATGCGTCCGGACGCAAGCATGCTTTCGGGCACAAGCATGCTTTCGGACGCAAGCATGCTTCCGAGCGCAAGCATGCTTTCGGACGCAAGCATGCATCCGGACGCAAGCATGCTTCCGGACGACAGCATGCTTTCGGGCGCAAGCATGCTTCCGGACGCAAGCATGCTTTCGGACGCAAGCATGCGTCCGGACGCAAGCATGCTTCCGGACGCAAGCATGCTTTCGGGCGCAAGCATGCTTCCGGACGCAAGCATGCTTCCGGACGCAAGCATGCTTTCGGGCGCAAGCATGCTTCCGGACGCAAGCATGCTTCCGGACGCAAGCATGCTTCTGGCAGTGAGCATGCTTTCGGACGCAAGCATGCTTCCGGGCGCAAGCATGCTTTCGGATGCAAGCATGCTTCTGGACGCAAGCATGCTTTCGGGCGCAAGCATGCGTCCGGACGCAAGCATGCTTCCGGACGCAAGCATGCTTTCAGACGCAAGCATGCGTCCGGACGCAAGCATGCTTCCGGACGCAAGCATGCTTTCGGGCGCAAGCATGCTTCCGGGCGCAAGCATGCTTCCGGACGCAAGCATGCTTCTGGCAGTGAGCATGCTTTCGGACGCAAGCATGCGTCCGGGCGCAAGCATGCTTTCGGACGCAAGCATGCTTCTGGACGCAAGCATGCTTTCGGGCGCAAGCATGCTTTCGGACGCAAGCATGCTTTCGGACGCAAGCATGCTTCCGGACGCAAGCATGCTTTCGGGCGCAAGCATGCGTCCGGGCGCAAGCATGCTTCTGGACGCAAGCATGCTTTCGGACGCAAGCATGCTTTCGGACGCAAGCATGCTTCCGGACGCAAGCATGCTTTCGGACGCAAGCATGCGTCCGGGCGCAAGCATGCTTCCGGACGCAAGCATGCTTTCGGGCGCAAGCATGCTTCCGGACGCAAGCATGCTTTCGGACGCAAGCATGCTTTCGGACGCAAGCATGCGTCCGGACGCAAGCATGCTTCCGGACGCAAGCATGCGTCCGGGCGCAAGCATGCTTTCGGATGCAAGCATGCTTCTGGACGCAAGCATGCTTTCGGGCGCAAGCATGCTTTCGGACGCAAGCATGCTTTCGGACGCAAGCATGCTTCCGGACGCAAGCATGCTTTCGGGCGCAAGCATGCTTCCGGACGCAAGCATGCGTCCGGACGCAAGCATGCTTCTGGCAGTGAGCATGCTTTCGGACGCAAGCATGCTTCCGGGCGCAAGCATGCTTTCAGACGCAAGCATGCGTCCGGACGCAAGCATGCTTCCGGACGCAAGCATGCTTTCGGGCGCAAGCATGCTTCCGGACGCAAGCATGCTTCCGGACGCAAGCATGCTTCTGGCAGTGAGCATGCTTTCGGACGCAAGCATGCTTCCGGGCGCAAGCATGCTTTCGGATGCAAGCATGCTTCTGGACGCAAGCATGCTTTCGGGCGCAAGCATGCGTCCGGACGCAAGCATGCTTCCGGACGCAAGCATGCTTTCAGACGCAAGCATGCGTCCGGACGCAAGCATGCTTCCGGACGCAAGCATGCTTTCGGGCGCAAGCATGCTTCCGGGCGCAAGCATGCTTCCGGACGCAAGCATGCTTCTGGCAGTGAGCATGCTTTCGGACGCAAGCATGCGTCCGGGCGCAAGCATGCTTTCGGACGCAAGCATGCTTCTGGACGCAAGCATGCTTTCGGGCGCAAGCATGCTTTCGGACGCAAGCATGCGTCCGGACGCAAGCATGCTTCCGGACGCAAGCATGCGTCCGGGCGCAAGCATGCTTTCGGATGCAAGCATGCTTCTGGACGCAAGCATGCTTTCGGGCGCAAGCATGCTTTCGGACGCAAGCATGCTTTCGGACGCAAGCATGCTTCCGGACGCAAGCATGCTTTCGGGCGCAAGCATGCTTCCGGACGCAAGCATGCGTCCGGACGCAAGCATGCTTCTGGTAGTGAGCATGCTTTCGGACGCAAGCATGCTTCCGGGCGCAAGCATGCTTTCAGACGCAAGCATGCGTCCGGACGCAAGCATGCTTCCGGACGCAAGCATGCTTTCGGGCGCAAGCATGCTTCCGGACGCAAGCATGCTTCCGGACGCAAGCATGCTTCTGGCAGTGAGCATGCTTTCGGACGCAAGCATGCTTCCGGGCGCAAGCATGCTTTCAGACGCAAGCATGCGTCCGGACGCAAGCATGCTTCCGGACGCAAGCATGCTTTCGGGCGCAAGCATGCTTCCGGACGCAAGCATGCTTCCGGACGCAAGCATGCTTCTGGCAGTGAGCATGCTTTCGGACGCAAGCATGCTTTCGGGCGCAAGCATGCTTTCGGGCGCAAGCATGCTTTCGGGCGCAAGCATGCTTTCGGACGCAAGCATGCGTCCGGACGCAAGCATGCTTCCGGACACAAGCATGCGTCCGGGCGCAAGCATGCTTTCGGATGCAAGCATGCTTCTGGACGCAAGCATGCTTTCGGGCGCAAGCATGCTTTCGGACGCAAGCATGCTTTCGGACGCAAGCATGCTTCCGGACGCAAGCATGCTTTCGGGCGCAAGCATGCTTCCGGACGCAAGCATGCGTCCGGGCGCAAGCATGCTTCTGGCAGTGAGCATGCTTTCGGACGCAAGCATGCTTCCGGGCGCAAGCATGCGTCCGGACGCAAGCATGCTTCCGGACGCAAGCATGCTTCCGGACGCAAGCATGCTTCCGGACGCAAGCATGCTTTCGGACGCAAGCATGCTTTCGGACGCAAGCATGCTTCCGGACGCAAGCATGCTTTCGGGCGCAAGCATGCTTCCGGACGCAAGCATGCGTCCGGACGCAAGCATGCTTCTGGCAGTGAGCATGCTTTCGGACGCAAGCATGCTTCCGGGCGCAAGCATGCGTCCGGACGCAAGCATGCTTCCGGACGCAAGCATGCTTCCGGACGCAAGCATGCTTCCGGACGCAAGCATGCGTCCGGGCGCAAGCATGCTTCTGGACGCAAGCATGCTTTCGGACGCAAGCATGCTTTCGGACGCAAGCATGCTTCCGGACGCAAGCATGCTTTCGGACGCAAGCATGCGTCCGGGCGCAAGCATGCTTCCGGACGCAAGCATGCTTTCGGGCGCAAGCATGCTTCCGGACGCAAGCATGCTTTCGGACGCAAGCATGCTTTCGGACGCAAGCATGCGTCCGGACGCAAGCATGCTTCCGGACGCAAGCATGCGTCCGGGCGCAAGCATGCTTTCGGATGCAAGCATGCTTCTGGACGCAAGCATGCTTTCGGGCGCAAGCATGCTTTCGGACGCAAGCATGCTTTCGGACGCAAGCATGCTTCCGGACGCAAGCATGCTTTCGGGCGCAAGCATGCTTCCGGACGCAAGCATGCGTCCGGACGCAAGCATGCTTCTGGCAGTGAGCATGCTTTCGGACGCAAGCATGCTTCCGGGCGCAAGCATGCGTCCGGACGCAAGCATGCTTCCGGACGCAAGCATGCTTCCGGACGCAAGCATGCTTCCGGACGCAAGCATGCGTCCGGGCGCAAGCATGCTTCTGGACGCAAGCATGCTTTCGGACGCAAGCATGCTTTCGGACGCAAGCATGCTTCCGGACGCAAGCATGCTTTCGGACGCAAGCATGCGTCCGGGCGCAAGCATGCTTCCGGACGCAAGCATGCTTTCGGGCGCAAGCATGCTTTCGGACGCAAGCATGCTTTCGGACGCAAGCATGCTTTCGGACGCAAGCATGCGTCCGGACGCAAGCATGCTTCCGGACGCAAGCATGCGTCCGGGCGCAAGCATGCTTTCGGATGCAAGCATGCTTCTGGACGCAAGCATGCTTTCGGGCGCAAGCATGCTTTCGGACGCAAGCATGCTTTCGGACGCAAGCATGCTTCCGGACGCAAGCATGCTTTCGGGCGCAAGCATGCTTCCGGACGCAAGCATGCGTCCGGACGCAAGCATGCTTCTGGCAGTGAGCATGCTTTCGGACGCAAGCATGCTTCCGGGCGCAAGCATGCTTTCAGACGCAAGCATGCGTCCGGGCGCAAGCATGCTTTCAGACGCGAAGCATGCTTCCGGACGCAAGCATGCTTCCGGACGCAAGCATGCTTTCAGACGCAAGCATGCTTCCGGGCGCAAGCATGCTTTCGGGCGCAAGCATGCTTCCGGACGCAAGCATGCTTTCGGACGCAAGCATGCTTTCGGATGCAAGCATGCGTCCGGGCGCAAGCATGCTTCCGGACGCAAGCATGCTTTCGGACGCGAAGCATGCTTCCGGACGCAAGCATGCTTTCAGACGCGAAGCATGCTTCCGGACGCAAGCATGCTTCCGGACGCAAGCATGCTTTCAGACGCAAGCATGCTTCCGGGCGCAAGCATGCTTTCGGGCGCAAGCATGCTTCCGGACGCAAGCATGCTTTCGGACGCAAGCATGCTTTCGGATGCAAGCATGCTTCCGGACGCAAGCATGCTTTCGGACGCAAGCATGCTTTCGGACGCAAGCATGCTTTCGGATGCAAGCATGCTTTCAGACGCGAAGCATGCTTCCGGACGCAAGCATGCTTCCGGACGCAAGCATGCTTTCAGACGCAAGCATGCTTCCGGGCGCAAGCATGCTTCCGGACGCAAGCATGCTTTCGGACGCGAAGCATGCTTCCGGACGCAAGCATGCTTTCAGACGCGAAGCATGCTTCCGGACGCAAGCATGCTTCCGGACGCAAGCATGCTTTCAGACGCAAGCATGCTTCCGGACGCAAGCATGCTTTCAGACGCAAGCATGCTTCCGGGCGCAAGCATGCTTTCGGGCGCAAGCATGCTTCCGGACGCAAGCATGCTTTCGGACGCAAGCATGCTTTCGGATGCAAGCATGCTTCCGGACGCAAGCATGCTTTCGGACGCAAGCATGCTTTCGGACGCAAGCATGCTTTCGGACGCAAGCATGCTTTCGGATGCAAGCATGCTTTCAGACGCGAAGCATGCTTCCGGACGCAAGCATGCTTCCAGACGCAAGCATGCGTCCGGGCGCAAGCATGCTTCCGGACGCAAGCATGCTTTCGGACGCGAAGCATGCTTCCGGACGCAAGCATGCTTTCAGACGCGAAGCATGCTTCCGGACGCAAGCATGCTTCCGGACGCAAGCATGCTTTCAGACGCAAGCATGCTTCCGGGCGCAAGCATGCTTTCGGGCGCAAGCATGCTTCCGGACGCAAGCATGCTTTCGGACGCAAGCATGCTTTCGGATGCAAGCATGCTTCCGGACGCAAGCATGCTTTCGGACGCAAGCATGCTTTCGGACGCAAGCATGCTTTCGGACGCAAGCATGCTTTCGGACGCAAGCATGCTTTCGGATGCAAGCATGCTTCTGGACGCAAGCATGCTTTCGGACGCAAGCATGCTTTCGGACGCAAGCATGCTTTCGGACGCAAGCATGCTTCCGGACGCAAGCATGCTTTCGGGCGCAAGCATGCTTTCAGACGCAAGCATGCGTCCGGACGCAAGCATGCTTCCGGACACAAGCATGCGTCCGGGCGCAAGCATGCTTTCGGATGCAAGCATGCTTCTGGACGCAAGCATGCTTTCGGGCGCAAGCATGCTTTCGGACGCAAGCATGCTTTCGGACGCAAGCATGCTTCCGGACGCAAGCATGCTTTCGGGCGCAAGCATGCTTCCGGACGCAAGCATGCGTCCGGGCGCAAGCATGCTTCTGGCAGTGAGCATGCTTTCGGACGCAAGCATGCTTCCGGGCGCAAGCATGCGTCCGGACGCAAGCATGCTTCCGGACGCAAGCATGCTTCCGGACGCAAGCATGCTTCCGGACGCAAGCATGCTTTCGGACGCAAGCATGCTTTCGGACGCAAGCATGCTTCCGGACGCAAGCATGCTTTCGGGCGCAAGCATGCTTCCGGACGCAAGCATGCGTCCGGACGCAAGCATGCTTCTGGCAGTGAGCATGCTTCCGGACGCAAGCATGCTTCCGGGCGCAAGCATGCGTCCGGACGCAAGCATGCTTCCGGACGCAAGCATGCTTCCGGACGCAAGCATGCTTCCGGACGCAAGCATGCGTCCGGGCGCAAGCATGCTTCTGGACGCAAGCATGCTTTCGGACGCAAGCATGCTTTCGGACGCAAGCATGCTTCCGGACGCAAGCATGCTTTCGGACGCAAGCATGCGTCCGGGCGCAAGCATGCTTCCGGACGCAAGCATGCTTTCGGGCGCAAGCATGCTTCCGGACGCAAGCATGCTTTCGGACGCAAGCATGCTTTCGGACGCAAGCATGCGTCCGGACGCAAGCATGCTTCCGGACGCAAGCATGCGTCCGGGCGCAAGCATGCTTTCGGATGCAAGCATGCTTCTGGACGCAAGCATGCTTTCGGGCGCAAGCATGCTTTCGGACGCAAGCATGCTTTCGGACGCAAGCATGCTTCCGGACGCAAGCATGCTTTCGGGCGCAAGCATGCTTCCGGACGCAAGCATGCGTCCGGACGCAAGCATGCTTCTGGCAGTGAGCATGCTTTCGGACGCAAGCATGCTTCCGGGCGCAAGCATGCGTCCGGACGCAAGCATGCTTCCGGACGCAAGCATGCTTCCGGACGCAAGCATGCTTCCGGACGCAAGCATGCGTCCGGGCGCAAGCATGCTTCTGGACGCAAGCATGCTTTCGGACGCAAGCATGCTTTCGGACGCAAGCATGCTTCCGGACGCAAGCATGCTTTCGGACGCAAGCATGCGTCCGGGCGCAAGCATGCTTCCGGACGCAAGCATGCTTTCGGGCGCAAGCATGCTTTCGGACGCAAGCATGCTTTCGGACGCAAGCATGCTTTCGGACGCAAGCATGCGTCCGGACGCAAGCATGCTTCCGGACGCAAGCATGCGTCCGGGCGCAAGCATGCTTTCGGATGCAAGCATGCTTCTGGACGCAAGCATGCTTTCGGGCGCAAGCATGCTTTCAGACGCAAGCATGCTTTCGGACGCAAGCATGCTTCCGGACGCAAGCATGCTTTCGGGCGCAAGCATGCTTCCGGACGCAAGCATGCGTCCGGACGCAAGCATGCTTCTGGCAGTGAGCATGCTTTCGGACGCAAGCATGCTTCCGGGCGCAAGCATGCTTTCAGACGCAAGCATGCGTCCGGGCGCAAGCATGCTTTCAGACGCGAAGCATGCTTCCGGACGCAAGCATGCTTCCGGACGCAAGCATGCTTTCAGACGCAAGCATGCTTCCGGGCGCAAGCATGCTTTCGGGCGCAAGCATGCTTCCGGACGCAAGCATGCTTTCGGACGCAAGCATGCTTTCGGATGCAAGCATGCGTCCGGGCGCAAGCATGCTTCCGGACGCAAGCATGCTTTCGGACGCGAAGCATGCTTCCGGACGCAAGCATGCTTTCAGACGCGAAGCATGCTTCCGGACGCAAGCATGCTTCCGGACGCAAGCATGCTTTCAGACGCAAGCATGCTTCCGGGCGCAAGCATGCTTTCGGGCGCAAGCATGCTTCCGGACGCAAGCATGCTTTCGGACGCAAGCATGCTTTCGGATGCAAGCATGCTTCCGGACGCAAGCATGCTTTCGGACGCAAGCATGCTTTCGGACGCAAGCATGCTTTCGGATGCAAGCATGCTTTCAGACGCGAAGCATGCTTCCGGACGCAAGCATGCTTCCGGACGCAAGCATGCTTTCAGACGCAAGCATGCTTCCGGGCGCAAGCATGCTTCCGGACGCAAGCATGCTTTCGGACGCGAAGCATGCTTCCGGACGCAAGCATGCTTTCAGACGCGAAGCATGCTTCCGGACGCAAGCATGCTTCCGGACGCAAGCATGCTTTCAGACGCAAGCATGCTTCCGGACGCAAGCATGCTTTCAGACGCAAGCATGCTTCCGGGCGCAAGCATGCTTTCGGGCGCAAGCATGCTTCCGGACGCAAGCATGCTTTCGGACGCAAGCATGCTTTCGGATGCAAGCATGCTTCCGGACGCAAGCATGCATTCGGACGCAAGCATGCTTTCGGACGCAAGCATGCTTTCGGACGCAAGCATGCTTTCGGATGCAAGCATGCTTTCAGACGCGAAGCATGCTTCCGGACGCAAGCATGCTTCCGGACGCAAGCATGCTTCCAGACGCAAGCATGCGTCCGGGCGCAAGCATGCTTCCGGACGCAAGCATGCTTTCGGACGCGAAGCATGCTTCCGGACGCAAGCATGCTTTCAGACGCGAAGCATGCTTCCGGACGCAAGCATGCTTCCGGACGCAAGCATGCTTTCAGACGCAAGCATGCTTCCGGGCGCAAGCATGCTTTCGGGCGCAAGCATGCTTCCGGACGCAAGCATGCTTTCGGACGCAAGCATGCTTTCGGATGCAAGCATGCTTCCGGACGCAAGCATGCTTTCGGACGCAAGCATGCTTTCGGACGCAAGCATGCTTTCGGACGCAAGCATGCTTTCGGACGCAAGCATGCTTTCGGATGCAAGCATGCTTCTGGACGCAAGCATGCTTTCGGACGCAAGCATGCTTTCGGACGCAAGCATGCTTTCGGACGCAAGCATGCTTCCGGACGCAAGCATGCTTTCGGGCGCAAGCATGCTTTCAGACGCAAGCATGCGTCCGGGCGCAAGCATGCTTTCAGACGCGAAGCATGCTTCCGGACGCAAGCATGCTTCCGGACGCAAGCATGCTTTCAGACGCAAGCATGCTTCCGGGCGCAAGCATGCTTTCGGGCGCAAGCATGCTTCCGGACGCAAGCATGCTTTCGGACGCAAGCATGCTTTCGGATGCAAGCATGCGTCCGGGCGCAAGCATGCTTCCGGACGCAAGCATGCTTTCGGACGCGAAGCATGCTTCCGGACGCAAGCATGCTTTCAGACGCGAAGCATGCTTCCGGACGCAAGCATGCTTCCGGACGCAAGCATGCTTTCAGACGCAAGCATGCTTCCGGGCGCAAGCATGCTTTCGGGCGCAAGCATGCTTCCGGACGCAAGCATGCTTTCGGACGCAAGCATGCTTTCGGATGCAAGCATGCTTCCGGACGCAAGCATGCTTTCGGACGCAAGCATGCTTTCGGACGCAAGCATGCTTTCGGACGCAAGCATGCTTTCGGACGCAAGCATGCTTTCGGATGCAAGCATGCTTCTGGACGCAAGCATGCTTTCGGGCGCAAGCATGCTTTCGGACGCAAGCATGCTTTCGGACGCAAGCATGCTTCCGGACGCAAGCATGCTTTCGGGCGCAAGCATGCTTCCGGACGCAAGCATGCGTCCGGGCGCAAGCATGCTTCTGGCAGTGAGCATGCTTTCGGACGCAAGCATGCTTCCGGGCGCAAGCATGCGTCCGGACGCAAGCATGCTTCCGGACGCAAGCATGCTTCCGGACGCAAGCATGCTTCCGGACGCAAGCATGCTTTCGGACGCAAGCATGCTTTCGGACGCAAGCATGCTTCCGGACGCAAGCATGCTTTCTGTTGAGTGATGCTACCATTCGCATTCACGTCTGTCTGCCTCCCATCATATGTTCGTGCGTTGCATGCGTGTTGTGAGTGTGTGCAAGAATTTGTGTTTTGTGCGGTTTGGTTTTTCTGAGTGTGTGTGTGAATGTTATTTGGCTTGAGCAGATATCTGAAGTGACTCCTCTGCTCAAGAGCTTTCCGAGGAACCAAGTATCGCTTCAATCGGAGCACGAACAAGAAAGTTACGAACGTTGGAGTTCGTATGCTTTTGATATTTGGTTGTGGTGACTATGGGAAGTTGTGGGGTTGACTCAATATGGGGTACAGACTTTTGGGGGTTGGGAAATTCGTCTTTTCTACTGTAGTTGCTGCCAAATGGTTGGGAGAAACCAAACCAGGTTGGCAAGTGTGGCCAAGTTGGGTTGAGGTGGATTGTGGAGGTTGGGATAGTGACAAAGGTCAAAGTTGGGTTGCCTATGGGGAAGGGAATTGTATGGCATGGGGTTTCCTTGGTTGGGGACTCTCTTGGGACCTTCCCTCTCGTCCTCCTCATCCCCTCCTACCTGGTTCTATTGCTACTCTAACTTTCTTGTGTGAACTTGTGAGATCATTGTGATTGAGTTACGTTTTCTATGGCAGCATACCCCCTAGTGCGCCGAAGTTCATAACTCGAGTTATACTCCATATTCTGATACTATTGAAATTGGGAAAGATAGCCACGGTCAAGGGCTACAACATACTCGAGTTTGAAAGAATTCTAACAGTGGACCTTTCGTCGACGACGTTTCTTGTGACGACGACTTTTCTGTCCAGAATTGTAGTTGACGATTTTGAGATATTTCAGCCCCTAATCTTCATAGACTCCGTCCTTAATCTCTAACAAGTGGTATCAGAGCTGATTAAGGACCTTGTGGGGAGTCTACTGAAGTGTGAAGACCCTCCTAGACCCACCATGGCCTGTGGGCGTGCCTAAGTGGAGTTCTGGAGGTTGGATGTGACTTCCGCTAAGGGGAAACTCTGCCGAAATTTCGTTGGCGCTGACACTTGTGAAGATTGTGTGGATCTACATTGTGACCAGCAAAAGGGGGAGCTGAAACCTCTGATTGGGAGCAGAGGAGATGAATCAAGGGAGTGGAGATGCAGCTGAGAAGAGGAGTGAGCCGCCACCATCCAAGATTGAAGCTTTGGATGGCTCCAACTATGAGGAATGGAGCGGGCGGATGCGGAGCGCCTTCAAGCGCTACAAGCTGCTGAAAATTGCAATGGGAGAGGAGAAGATGCCG